ACACTGCTATAAAAATAGATCGCTGTATCAACAGTCTATAGGCTTACAGTTGCACCTATCAGAGTAAACGGTGGTACGTGGATTTGATAATGCCATTATGAAGGATAAACTTTCCTAGGAGCGGTCTATTGTGGTACCCCTAGAGACCTAGATCAACTTTCGAGATATTCCTGCCTCGAACCCAACAACCTTCGGCCCGACAACTTTGAGTTCCCTTATTCCCTTTGTCAGTTAGGGGATCCTCTGCTTCTCTTTCATGACACAGCATGGTAGCAAGAACTGCTGTAAGACCGGCTTCTTCGTCTCGGTTCAGCGCATTGCCATCAATCACAAACGCGAAAAAATCTACAGGTCTCTCTGCGGGTGTGACACAAACGCACGAAGACCACTGTTTACCACATTTATAGCTGAGCATCGTCAGCATCGGTCACATCAAACTTATACGCAGGGCTCGTCTTACCAGAACTGTGCGCTGCATCTGCATGTAATGTGATCACAGCCGAATATAAGTTCCACCACCGCACCACAATTAAAACACCTCTGCCATCGCTGAAGCCGAGCCACTTCAAGGACTGCGGACAGACCTGCATCAGAAGAGCAATCTCCTGACCTGTGGGACACGCCGCGACACTTTGAGCAAATTCTCGTGCTACAATACAAGCATGTTTGTGTCTGAGATTTCTCAGCCTTCACAGCCGTTGGAGGTATCCACTTCCCGCATGTTGGTGCAGGACAGTACCAGCGATCTGCAACCGGCGTCGCATACTCGGTTGTTTTAGAGACAAATGACTCTCTTTCCTTTGGTGGTAGTAAAGGGAGGATGGTCTCTGACGGAATCTTCCGTGAACAACATCTCGGTGGAAATAATTGCTCGTCTGCCATGTTTGTGGCCACCATTTGCCTGATACACGTGCTGCAATACTTATGCTGACAAGGCAAGCTCACCAGCTCATCGGCTGGCATGCTTTCGAGGCAGCTCACGCAGGACCTAGGTGTCATCAGCTTACACTGCCAGTCCGGTCGGTACGCGTCAATAAGAACTTCCTCCTTATGTGGCGTCCTCCTGAAGAAGCGCTGGATGAGTCGGCATCTCTCAATTCTCGCTATAATACGACTCCTCCTCCTCGACCCCGCCTTGCTCCTTTCGATTTGTGGATGGCACTCCATGCTTGAATAGTCACTAGCTTGATGAAGGTAGACAGGTTTAGAGTCCGCCGATGGAGACTCCGCGTTCAAGGAGCTTCTCAACAAGCTTGCAACCCCGTTATCCTGAGGCGAAGGATGTCTTTCTCGCCTATTTTTCTTGATAGCACGCGAGGTCGCCGGAGATAGGTTGCATAGTAACATCTTTAACTTTGGGAGGAGAGGTGCTCTATGCTGATAGGAATCGGGAAACTTCACTCTAGCCCGCTAGTTCTGAAGGTTTGCCAGCTCGTAGAAGGGGGGAATCGGCAGGTTGACTCTCTGGGAGATTGTCAGGGAACTTGACGCCATAGTTCCTATCTAACAGATGTTGACACTTGGAGATACTGCGCGTGCAAAGCTAAGAGGTGAATATCATAATATTGGAATGGACGAAAATCGGTCTGGTTGCTTGATATGTTTGATCGTTGGTAGAGTGTAAGTGTAAAGGGTAAGTGTAAAGGTATGATTTGGCTCATTATCTCGTCGGGCGAGACGTCAACTATATAGGAAAGTCGGCACATCATGCTAACGGTGAGTCAGGTGTGGATATATCACCACCACTTTAGTGACTATGCTATGGATAGGCCATTCGCGTGCCACATGTTCAGGCCCCATTACCCGACTATGATCGTCGCATGCTACGATAACCAACCAACCATTCTTGAAGTGAACAATTTACCACTGGTTCTTCACGTAGATGGGGACCTTTACTAGCAAAGTCGCCATGATTCATACAAGCAACGCAACCAAGAAAATAAAAAATAGTAATCAAAGATTTGATCTCTAAGCCGTATTTGTTTGTAGGTGTAGGGAAAATTAGCTGGATCGTGACAGGTTCGCGCGCCAAGTACTCTGGCTGGGTAGCGCCTTACTGACGTGGACAGTTGGTTGGGTTGAAGGGCTACGAAAAAAGAATACAAACCAAGAGAGAGGAAACAAGCAAACCTCACTGCGGGGTACAAAGAACCGAAAGCCATGCCACTTACCAAGCCTCTACCCACTTAGACACCATCGCTGCATGTGTCGGTCAATCGAAAGCCCTTCCCCCTTCATCAATAAGTAGAGATTCCGTTATGACTCCGACCTCACCGCAACATTACCAAAAAAATTCTGTCAAATCATTCCAAATGGCGTGACCGTGGATGGATCAGTAACTTAACCATATTAACTAACGCAACTCAGCTCAACACTAGCCCCCAATGCCAGAGAGAAAAAACACGTCTTAGAATTATACGGCGGCTGGTTACCATCATCTCTTGGAGTTAGAAACAGAAACATGTTGAAATTCAAAGGGTATCACTAGCAAATGCTACTCTAACCGGTCATCAAGCCAAGTCGCCAAACTTGTGCCAGATTTAATTAGACTCAATGTACTTACTCCAAAGATCGCAATCCTGAACACCACGAAATAATGCACCCGATTTCATACAGTGCCAGCAAATTTCCTCCCAGCCCAAACAGAGCCATTCTCCTGATATTCCTGGCGGGTAATAGCAACCTTCTTCATGTCATCTCTATTAGTGGCTAATCGACTTGCCCCAAGCCAGGTGGAGCGAATTGGACTGTTTCCAGAGACCGTCAGCGCACAGTTAAGATCAACATTGTAATAACAAGCTTACTCCTGAGGCCGTCGAACCCTCACAGCGCATTCTGCCGAAGCAACTTCACGTAGCTCCTTCTCCCTACAGCGAATTAGCAATATATAATACGAGAAACGGACGAGACGATATCTCACAGTCTTTCCATAAATCCAGCAGTCAAGGAGTTTCCTCCAACAACTAGCACATTTGCCAAGAAGGCTGGATGTAACCCAGTTGGCAGCACCGAAAGGCTCTGGATAATCATATCAGTAATGCCAGCCTGCTTCATACCGATGTCACTTGGGCGGAATATAATCTCAGGGACTGTGAAACGCTCGTTACTCAGAACCAAGACATCCTCAGATAGTGCCTCAGCGGTAGCACCTGAGAGTGCACTTTTCCTCTTCTTGGCATTCAATAGAGGATCATGAGGTCGCATGAACCCTTTCTTGCTCCCATTTGGGTCTGGCAGGACATAGTCGACCGTGACACCTTCGTCAGAGTCGAGTTGGCCACGCTTTCGGTTGCCCTTCCAAGTCCGTTCCATATCACGGGCAAAGTCATCACTGACATAGCACACTGCTTCCTTCACTTCATTAATGATATATGCTTCATCCACCATATTGTATTGCCTCATGGATACCATCTCCTTCAGATAGTTCGTAAGATGCTTGCCTCCAAGATCAAGTCTGCGAATGGCACGCTGAAGAGGTTGGCCTTTGTACAGCGGTGTAACTGTGGTGTGAGAATAGCCCGAATCGACCACAAGGAGGCATTCTCTTGGCGAAACAGCCGAGTCATACTTCTGCACGATGGGGTCTCCAAATAAAGATTGGACTTCGTTCCAGGCATTTAGCGACGGACCTAAAATGCCAATATTAGCCAGGTAACCAAGCAGCAGTATAACAGTGTCATTTACAACCGTACCCACGCATCTTAAATAGCCACCGAACCCCCACTCCTCCATCACAATCTCGTCTGCGTTCTTCTGCAGCGCCGGTAACGCGTTTGGAGCCTCGGTCAGCACAAGCGTCGTTTCTTCCGGTTTGGCGATCCGGAGGTCTTTGCTTCGCACAGTCTTCTCGTCAAAAAACGAATGCTCCCAGATTTCCTTTTGCGCTTCCCAATTCACAGTATATCCCTTCTCGACCGGACGTCGAAACATCAGCTCGTTCCAATCCGTAACATGAGTACTAAGCTGCGAACCCACGTAGACGCGGTTGTCGCGAGTCTTGGCGAGCGCATTAGAAATAACAGAACAGGCAGAGAGTGCCTCTGTATCATCTTCCGTGATAGAGCCAGGCGCATAGCCGGCCTTCATCGTATACGCGCCATTGTCGATTATGAAGGTCCTCTCGGGTAAAGTTTGGGCATTTGCGATGGAAGCTTTTCCAGAAGGGCGCGGTTTGGCGGTTCCCATGATTTGGGACATAAATCGTATAGTATCTAGATCTGTAGGTATTCAGCTCCGCATTAAACCACTAAGCGTTTGAAGGAAAACCTATTGGTGTTGAAATGCTAGGTAGAGATCGAAACGACCCGCGGCATTCTGTCCGTCGACGGGACCGGAGACTCCGAGCGGTCAGTTTTCACAGATTAGGAAATATAGGGCTCAGCTTTAGGGCACAACTCAAACCTGATGAGCATACATACTTATTGCAGCGCTTGTAACATTTACACGAAATTCCTTAGAATGGTCATGGATTAGTCTTCAATTGTCACTGCTAGGCGCCTTAAGAATATACTAGGAGATGATAATCATGAAGCTCCCACCCATGGCGATTCCGTATAGTTGCCCAGTACGAGGTTTTTAGCTCCCTTTATGAAGGCTATGTTTTGTTGGGTATAAAGATTGGTAAACTCCGACATATAATTGATGATCAAACCATGCGGTTGGGAAAGCTCGCGATGGTCTGTTATTCCCATGTGTCTGCCGGCAGCAGATGTAGATATATCCATTACCCAGGGCAATGTATCATTTAGTAAGTTTGTATGCATATGTTAGGGCGCCGCACTATTTTTTATTGGATTGGTATTCAGATATACAAGCACATAAGATGTTGTAACGGACAGGAATTCCACAAGTACAGATCAACAAAGCTAGATGTATAAATGTACAAACGCTTTCCATCACTAAGGTCAGCCGCAGGTGACCCCGCAGAGCCCTAACAATCGGCCCCGCAGTTCTCGAATCAAAATTTCTCCCAACTTGTCTTGAGCAGGTCGAGCCCAACCAAAACACCCATAGTCCGGTCAGAATGTCAACAAAGCTTCACGTCACTATTACAACTACACTTACCCTCGTGGAGCAGTTCCACTTGACCTTATCGTCGTCCTCTGGAGACCCAGCCTCCACAGAACTCTCAAGCAGAGATGCACTTCCCCTCCTTTCGGCATCGTCGACAGCCCTTAAGTCACAAGTCACTAAGCTTTCGCTCTTGGCCATTACCTCTCCATTTACGCCCACCGCCGTCGTCCCTCTCCTCTCTGATCTGAATGGATCAGTGCTCCCGTCGTTTGTGACAGCAGCTCTACTCATTACACCGACCGACCACACCAAAGCATTTCAGGCCGAGGCTCTATCGCTAACGAAGACAGGGCTGAACGAACTGTCATCGCTTGTGAAAGAAGTTCAGTCAATTGCAGAGAGAAATGATGAAGTACACATGAAAAAGAAGGGAATCGAACTGTCGCAGTCTGAGAAAGACCTCGTTACGGTAGCTACAGGACGGGTTTGGGGTGCTTGTGATGCCTTGATTGACCTCGCTTCGAACGGCGTTGCTGGGTTTATAATACGGCGCGTGGAAGAATGGAGAGATCTGGTGCGAGATGCAATGGAAGAGATTGACGCATGGAATCCTGATGAAGAAGGGGATGAGTTCTTCGATGAGCTTTTGAGCGACGACGGGAAACAGAGCGTTGGAAATGGTAGTGAGGGCGAATTATCCGAGGATAGCAGCGACGGCGAAGACAACGCTGTGCTTTATGAACTGAAAAGGACTTCAATTCGGCTACTCAAACCAGTTGTCCAAATTTACCCCGCAATCATCACGAATCGCCTGAAGAAGATTCCTGAGTACTTACCTTCCCTTGTTAGCCAGCTGGAATCCCTTATGACGAACCTCCACCATATACCGGAGCAAGTTGACGAAGTAGCGGGAGCACTATATGAAGCGGATCTAGAACGATCTATCCGGTACTTGAAAAGGACAAAGGATTGTGCTGTTGAAGCGGTCAAGTTAGTGGTTCTGCCTTGGGTTGAACAGAGTGTGACCGACAGCCAGCAAAAAGCCGATAAATTTACTAACTGGTCGAAGACATGGTTGAAGGTGATTGATGAGGTCAGTAAACCTCTTGATGATATCAAGGAAGCGAAGTCACAGTGAATAAATTTCCTTTTATTTATAAAGCCTGAACATATAAAGCACGATGTAATATATTGTTTAAGTTGTCTGGTAATGTGTATAATGTTACAATATCTAAGGCTGTTCTTGTATCAAGGGGGGGGGAAACAAAAAAAAAAAAATTCCACAGTTGACTGTTCCTGTTATTGCGCAGCAACCGTTAGGGGTAAACGCCCCCACAACCCCCTCTCCCAACTGAAAAAAGATAAGAAATAAACTATGTACACAAATATGAAGCTGGTGACAGAAGAATTGATAGTATCAATAGGTTGTTGCTTGGTGCCCAATGTACTTCCTATATGCTCGATTCTTCATCAGGCTCCCATTGACAAAGATCGTCAGCAGGTATCCGATCCTTTAACCATTCGAGGATAGCATCTGTTCCTTTGGCAACAATTTGCCAGCGAGGGACACGAAAGCTATTACCCGCAACCTCGAATCTCTTCAGCGCCGATCCATTGCCCCAGTTCTTACTGCAGCCCTCGGCTCTTAGAAGGCCCAGCTTTGGTGGTAGAGAATTGATGTTATTATTGCTTACATCAAGAACCTGAAGGCCTTGAACTGCGTCAAAATCCAAGCTATCAAAGCGGTTATCGGCGGCGAGGAATGTCATCAGACTTGGATAGGTTTGACGGACCGGTGGAAGAGACCCACAAATGCGGTTATTCGATACATCTAGAAATGTGAGCGAGGGGGCTTGAAGATTGGCTAATAGTGGCTCAAGAGTGATTAAACCGGTGGCACTCAAGTTGAGGATTTGGAGACTGGGGAAATCCAGCGACGTGGGAAAAAGCGAAGTGCTATCCAGTGGATTGTTTGAAAGATCAAGATCAGTCAAATTAAGCGCGAGCATACTGAGAGTCGGTGCCGGGATACAGCGTAGTTCATTATGTTGCAGGTAAAGACATCTGACCTCATGTGGGTTTATACGTTCCAGATGATCCATGTCCAGCTCCTGAAGATCAGCGTACGATCTGTCGAGGACTCCCCCGGGTTTGATTTGCCAAACGCCTAATTGAGCTGGGGCCTCAGGTGCGAGCGTAAACTGGGTTGCGACCGAGCCCTCTTCGTCATCGGTATCTTGTGGCTCTGGCTCGCACCGGTTTCGGAGCTCGCGCTTTAAGTCCTCAGTAGACATATTAAGGTATTTTCGCTCCCTAAGAGGGTTGTTCGTAATTCGAAATGTGACAAGGCTTTCCATCAATCCAATTCTTTCGTTCAGTCTTGAGATGTTGTTCCCCGTCAAGTCAACGTTTCGAACGGCCTTCAACTCAGCGAATCCTTGCGGTAGGTCTGCTATGCTATTATCCTCCGCTGACAAACTCAGGAGTGCCTGCCAAGAAGAAACATCTGGCAAACACTGGATGCGGTTCATGCTGATCGCTAGAGTGTGTAGATTGGGGAGTCCGAATGTATCGTGGTCAGAAAGCTTTGTTAGGGCGTTTCCAGTTACATTCAGATATTGTAAGGTCGAAAGCGCCTGTACAGAAGCGGGTAACAAAGTACCCTTTAAACGATTGTTGGGAGCGTTGAGCTCTTTCAATGGAAGCTTGCTTAGGCCCTCGAAAGGCAAAGTGGACAGGTGATTATCACCCACGTTCAGAACTCGTAGGGAAGTCAGGTATGAGAGTTCATTCGGTAGCTCTGTGAGAGAGTTGCTATGTAGGTCAAGAACTTCCAGGTTGTTAAGATTCTTTATTCCGGCAGGGAATGACCCCTGCAGCTGATTCTTCGCTAGCTTGAGGTCCTTTACAGTTCCCATCTCCAAGATGATCTGTATGTCTTCCAAGCTTAGCTTATTATTTGAGAGATTGAGGGTATGAAGACGCTGTAGTCGCCTGAAACCAATTGGCAGTGAGCGCAATAGGTTTCCGTGTAAGTCGAGAACTTCCAGCCCACCAAACTGGTTTCCCCTCTCGTCAGCATCTAGATCCTCTGTGTCGACGTCTGGGAAAGCGGAATCTGGAAGTTCGACGAACTCGTTATCTGCAGCAATGAACTTGACAATGTCTACACTCTCATACCATCCTGTGACTGAGTCAGGGTCGAAATCATACATGGTCATGACTTCCTCTGGCAATGCTGCCAAGGACATGGCCGCAATATTCAAATGACCTGAGGTGCGACCTGCTTCGAGACGTTTTCGAAGGAGCCCTTTGTTCAAATCCTTTGGTCGCTGGTTGAATGGGTCTTCAACACTTAGGTCATCCAAGGATGAATTCTGGGAACTATCATTGCTCTGCATCGCTGCTTTCCGTGCAGCTTTTGCCTTTGCAATGCTTTCCCTTAGTGCGCTCGATGACCTTGAAGTTTTTCTGGTCTCCATCTCAGATTGCTTCTCAAGGGTTAGGTTAGGGGTCGTGGCCTTAGTGGAGGGTGATCTTGACATTTTTATAGGCGCCCTTGAATTCTGATGTGTTTTTGTCGGCGTCTTTCTCGTTTTCTTCACTTGGAGTGCTTCCTGCGTAATATTCGTATCAGGAATCTGTGAAAAGGCAGTACCTGAGCTTCCACGGAGAGTTGACAGGGTATGCGTCGTATCTCTACAAGTGCTTGTCCTTGAAGTAGGCAGCTTCAATTTTGAAACGCTATCCGGGGTCGTCCCGTCGTTTAGCTCGGCCGGTGTGCCGCCCACATACAGAGACTGGCGTGACCTTGAAGGGAGCCGCATTGCAGACGATGGACGAGACAAGAAGTCCCCGCCGGTTTGTTGGCGCGACGACGATGACCTAGAAGGCGACCTCGAGCAACTTGACAGCGCTGACGGTGGACGGGATGGAGAGCGCATGGGGCTGGTCCCATTAAAGAAACTAGAGTGCCTTGAAGAACCCGGTGAAGGAGGGATTTGGGACAACGTCTCAATTGTTCGTTCTGACAGTGAAGGCCGCGCACGACCTCGACTATCTGCATCGTCAACTGATATATCAGTCCCATGCCTGAAATATCCAACCATTACACTTTCTGTTTCCGACTTTCCGCCATCGCTCATTCTAGTTTGAGAGACATCCCTCTTTTGTGGTTGGCCATTCTGAGGTTTTTTTGGCACCGAGTATTTAGGTAGCGGCTTTTTAAACAATGGTTCCTCTGAAGGCCTCCGAAGCCTAGCTGCATCGATGCCAGTATCTGTCCGTAGCTTTTCGCGAGATGGGGAGGGCTTGATCGATTTCGAAGCGGTAGACGTCGGGAGCGGTAGCCTGGAGGCTAATCGAGGAATCCCACTCGGTCGGGCCGATAATTTCTGTTGCTTATCCATATTCACATCACATAAGACGTAGTCGGCTTAAGTTGTCTATAAGCATGAAGTAAGTTTCTGCTATTGGATGGTGCAATGGTTTCAAGAGCGGAAAAAGAGTCTCATGATGGTTTTTGTGTGGGTTAGGGGAAACACAGGACAGCAGAAATTCTCAGCTGACGCACTGCTAGTAGGGCGTAATGGGTAGAGGTGAAAACGTTAAGTGGACGAAGCACAAAGTAATACTCAGCGCAACGTGTCTTTTCCAGGGTAACTCCTATCAATTATGTGATAGATTATATGATTTAAATTATAGCCATTGTTTACGAAGTAGTTGGTGCCTGGGGCCACGATCCATATAAACTAGCCAAGCCATTTATGTGATTGGTGAGATTCTCCTTCGGCATCCCGCCGACGTATCCATCATGGACCGAATTAAGCCTGTAGGGCCCTATTTCACTATGGACACGAGTACCCGAGGTGCATTTGAGACAGATGTTTGCATACCTTTACGGAGCGAAAACAAACCACTACTACTGACTGTTTGCAGACCTTCCACAGTACACTCACGGACTCAGTGTACAGAGCACCAATTTACCAATACTTCTTACCACGGTCGGGCTCATTCGCCTACTTATGGTTACGTACATAGTAGAACGAGGGCTTTGCACAGGGTATCGTGTTCTCTGACGCGTTGCGTCTACGGAGTATATTGGGCTTCGGTCATACAAAACCTATGGTGTATGATACGGCCGAGCCATAGACAGCCGTTTATGATGGCCATATACTGTGTACAAAGTGCTCCTTACCACTGCCACATACACGGACGAATGTCAACCTCACAGAAAGACTGCTCCAACCTACGACTATTCCAATGGCCTGAAGCCTCGCTAATACGGTTGACTGGCAGCAAATGTAATTTCTCATTCTATGAGCACTGCCTTCTCATACATATCAACCCGCAATCTGATAAACGAATTGATTGGTCTTCACACGAATCAAGAGAAGGGGGGAAGAAGAGCAGGGTAAATTTTCTCGCTTCTTTTTCCTCTCTCTCTCTCTCTCTCTCTCTCTCTAAAACGCTCGTCTGAAACGCTAAGCTTGGCCTTGTTATGTTTGCGGGGGGAAATGGCCTGGAGTACTTGATTATAATCTTTGCATAAGCTCACGAAAACCCATGACGAGTGGATAGAGCAGAGCATAGGTCACTATATACATAAAATAGTAGTACGTGTGTGTGTTTACCAGGTTTCGCGATATCTTGAATATTAGACACGGGCCATCTGTTTGCCTACAGTGGCTTATACAATCGCAAAGTACTGATGATGGTCCATCAGCAGCCCGTTGCCTCAGTTACAACCTTCTGGACCCATGGGGTACAACTTCTGTTTACATACCTGGAGTGCATGATCTCCACGCTAACTTCATCTGGAATGGTAGATTTTAGCGCGCGGCTGGGCTCACGTGGATGCAGAACATCGAAAATGATTGGTTGGAGCAGAGCCATCGCAAGCGACCTCCCAGCCTCCCGATGTGCGAGACACCCGCCGCTTGCAACATCCTTAAGGCATCAAACCCTCCACGATGCTCCTTGCTCCTTGCATCACATCTACCCGTTGCTTTATTCACATTCTGTCTAGCTCCTTACTCCTGTCATATTGGTACGGACACTCCCATATCTTGCATTACTGTTCTTCCAATCTGGGCGCCGTTCTCAAAGAATTCATTTGTATCCTCCTTGACTTGGACGTGTCTGCACAGCCCTATCACTGATAAGCGGACCGAGCCAGGTGCGAGTCGCATAGTGTCTGTGCGACAAACACATCTATACCCAATTTCCCGAAAACTTTAGCTTCTATTATTATTTACAAGGCCCGTATCAGCCGAGCTGGAAACAAGTATTCCCTCGATCAGTTTTATTGACGTACACACGGAATACACTACCTCATTCCCGGTATGCGCTTGACCGCCCTACAGGGATCCGGTGCGGTTTATCAACCCGGCCATTGCTAACTAAGAAGCAGTGCGAGGATATATCCCGACGGTTTTACTTGACTTCTCTTGCCGTTGTTCCTACCATGCCACGAGACCCCAAGCTTCAGCTCTCACAGTGTTCTCTAGCGCCTCCGGCAGAAATCTCTGGCCCGATTAATCCCAGTCGGCGTACAAGTCTCTCTGTTTCTCCAGATATAAGTGTAAGAGCCGAAAGCCACACATCGCGCTCCGATAGAGGAAAGTTCTTTTCCCCTCCGTCACTATCATCATCAGATATGACGCCGCCTCCATCATCGCAGATCCCTGGAGCCCCTCTTCGACAATCAAGATCTCGATCTAGTTCATACCTTGCATCTCCGCCTGATATTGAGAAGACTCTGTGTGTCGCTTATGGAGCTTCCGAGAACCTCCCCGCTGCTGAAGAAATCGATACTGCTGACGAATCTAAACTTCGTGCGATCGCTAAGGAGCTACTGGGCGTAGCTCAAGAAGCTCGTATGTCAGCGCTGCACTTTAAGTTGCAGAATAGTCTACTATCATTCACGAGCAATGAAGCCATCAAGCGCGCCGAGGTTGAACATAAATTGGCTAGAAGAGAAGTCGAGATTCTCCAGAGCTCTGAATATCGACGTCGTCATTCGGAAACTAAACCGCTACAACAAATTGCCAATGTGGAATTAGAACTTGCTCTCAAACGTAATCAAGAATTGGAGAGGGTCAACGCTACACTTGACCGGCGGCTTCGCCGAGCGAAGAAACTTATCGACCAGGAGAAAGTGAAGTCTGATAAACTCGGGGAAGAAAATTCTTTGTTGAAAGGCCGTATCAGAGATAACCGAAAGCATCTTTCCTTGATGATTGAGCATGGTTCATTGTCTCCCAGTCCACAAACCGAGATTCAGACTCCTCTTAGAAAGTCTGTCCCTCACTTTGCCGATAATAGTCACCATATGACCAGCGATGATAACCATAACCCTTTCGCTGCTCTTCTGGCGGCGGACCGTGTTCTGAACAGAGAGTCTCCAAGTGCAATGTCCACATCAAATCAGAATGCCACACAGCAACAGTTTGACAGTCACCATGTGGGTGGTGCGCATCCACTGCCTTCTATTCCTATGACGCCGTCTCGGTCTCGGATAGCTCAGCAAGAGAGTCAGTACTTCACTCCAAACAAAATTTCTCAACGCCAGCGTCGGGATAGAGACAGCACTATATCAGCATCCGACACCGAGGAAGCCGAAAGTGAAGACGACGCTCCTTCCCACGCTGATTTAGTGTCAACAAATATGTTTCGCCATAGCCGTTCAGACCATCAGAATGTTACGAGAGTGGCAAACGCCCCTAAATCGAGCACTTTACTTCAAACAACACTCTTCGGTCAGATTAGAAAATCAGGAGTTGAGCGTCCCTCCGGCAGTCTCAAACGCAAGGCGAGTTTTGATAGTGTGGCCTCGAAGAAATCGAAAGCGGAGGAACGAGTGGGTCTCGGCATTGACACCTGGAACAATAACAGCCGTCCATAAAGTCTACATGTGCATTTGGCTGTATTTCCTGATTGCACATAAGTTGGCAAGCTGCGGTCGGATTGCGGATCTTCTTGGCTTGGGGCATCCTTTTCTTATCTAGACGTTTTTAAATGTCCTGTTTGCCCTCCCCTCAGGGACAGTTACGAATAATGACATGTAAATGATGGGGTGGATCGGTGTTACTATGGCGCCTTTTTCGTCTATTTCATTTCTCTTGGTTTCATTGTTGAATCTTCAATATGTTGAAGTCCAGAACGATTCTACGATTCTTATTGAGTAGTAGGCTTTGTACTCTTTCAGAATATCTCGAGCTAGGTACCTAGCGATAGATAAGATTTAGTTCTATCCCCAATCAATAGCACTCTCAATACGAAACAACTAGAAGAACAAATTCATCCGTTACCCATCCCTTGCTCGTCAGGTCTTTTTTCTTTCTTTTTCTCCTTTTCCTTCTTTGTGTTTTTAGTCCTTTTTTAGTAGATAGAAAGCGAATACCGAATACCGAATACTACATGCCAAAGAAACAGATACTGCCTTAGTAAGCATTAACGGGAACTGTAAATGTTCATTCATTCATGAAGATTGACTAGATTACATGTTTAAGAAGGATTCCGGCATCTAGTTAAAGCCAAAGCACTTATATGGACAATATATCATTTAGATAACTACTTAAGTGTTCTGTGTAAATTCAAATACAACCTGAGTGCTACTAATGGTGAAGTGAGATATCAAGTGACCAGTCTGCCAGGTCTGGGACCCTTTCCAGATTTGGTAACCAGGGTAGGGCTTTTCGCTAAGCGAGACCGGCGCGGCTCTGCGCGGTTGGCCACACCAAAAAAAGTTCCACCCATTATTGAAGAGTCGTTTTGAGATCCGACCAGCAACCACCCACGACGACGACGACAATCCCGGCCTTGATCACCGTCCGTCACAATGGTGCGTTTATCTGACCCCTCGCTGTTTTCAGTCGTTCTGCGATTCAACAAAATGATATCGAGTTCGGTATTTTCGTGGGTGAGAGCAAGTTACTGATGAGTTTTGGTGGTATAGGCGATCAAGCACAACAACCAGATTCTCAACCAGCGTGAGTGAACCCGAGTGAGCGAGTTTCGGCATATGATGAGAGAGGATGGATTTTTCTGTTTCGTGGAACAACGAACTGACGAGTTCATTATAGACTTCCGCAAGGACTGGCAGCGTCGTGTGCGCGTGCACTTCGACCAGGTACGCAATCGAAGCCATTACTTCCACGAATCACATTATGAACGACATGTTTTGATCGTTTTGGGGGATTGTCTATGGTTTGACTAACTTCTTACCATTATATAGCCTGGCCGCAAGCACCGCCGTCGTGAGGCCCGTCTTGCAAAGGCCGCCGCTGTTGCTCCTCGTCCGGTTGACAAGCTGCGTCCCGTTGTGCGTTGCCCTACCGTCAAGTACAACCGCCGTGTCCGTGCCGGTCGTGGATTCACTCTCGCTGAGCTGAAGGTAAATTTGCCCCCTTTGCTGGATATAGAGCGGGGCCCTGTTGATGGTGCTGTTCTACTGGCTGGGTTTCGAAGTTGGATGGAAGCTTACACGGGACTTGCTTCAAAACCATATAGGAAGCCGGAATCCCCAAGAAGCTCGCTTCTACTATCGGTATTGCTGTTGACCACCGCCGTGTCAACTACTCCAAGGAGTCCCTGGTCGCCAATGTTGATCGCCTCAAGGACTACAAGGCCCGCTTGATCCTCTTCCCCCGCAAGAGTGGCCAGTTCAAGAAGCTTGACTCCTCCGCTGAAGAGGTCAGCGCTGCCAAGGCTGCCTTCGCCGCTGAGGGCAAGACTGAGGGCTATACCACTCGCGCCAATGCTACCCTTCCCATCAAGAACCTCACTGCTGAGGAGGCTGTCACTGAGATCAAGCGTGATGACCTGCCCAAGGGTGAGGAGGCTGCCTACCGCCGCTTGCGTGAGGCCCGCAGTGAGGCCCGCCACAAGGGTATCCGGGAGAAGCGTGCTAGGGCTAAGGCCGAGGAGGAATCCGCCGCCAAGAAATAAATGTGATTCACAGTTAATGATGATCGGGTCTATTTTAAAGTCGGGGATTAGTGTACTGTGGCATGGCGTGGCGCCCCTTTTCTCAATTTACCTTTGTCCTTAAAAAAGCTCCGAACCTTCCGAAATGCAAATGCCCAAATTTTCACGTTTCAAAAAAGAAGGGTCTACTCCGAGTTAGGAATGTATGCTATGAAGCTGCATCTTGGCCCGTCAGATTCTGGTGACTGGGTTTGTATCGAACGGCATCCTTCGCGATTCTTCGTTTCATTACACCGGTGGCCTAGTCCTCGGTTGGAGGCAGAGAGCACGCAAGATACTATGAAAGGGTAACCTGATGCAGGCCCCGGTAGGCTAGCTCAATGGCGGAGATGAATCTATACACTGGATTACAACCTGCGTAAACCTTTAATTTCGTAGTCATTTTAAGTTCCCGGGTTTGATAGAAGCTGAAAAGGTGTCCAAGATGCGATCCATCTGCTGATTTACAGAGGGGCAGACGCTATCGTTTTAAGGATCAACCAGTTGTTAGATTAGCTGATTGATTCAAAAACCAATCCAAGCCAATTTCAGTGACAGAATATGGTCACCTTTTTGCCCTTACTCTGAAAACATGTTTTTCAGGCTCATCACAGAACAAGGCACCCAAAATATGCTCGGCAGCATGTACTATGGCATCTGTATTGATATCAACGTCTGCGCCTATTCGCCCGCTCTGTTTCTCGCTCAAAATTGTGTGAAATAGTCTTTTGACATCTTGTTCCACCTTGCTTCCCGACCTGCCATTCATCATGGGCGGCGCAGACACACTGAATCCCGGCACCAACCTGGGTTCACATGCCCATTCATCGATTGTTAGTTCGCAAGAAAAGTAGGCTCGAAGAGACTCTCCACCTTCGGACTCGAATAGCATCGATGTACGCTCAAGGTGTGGTAGTATTTTGCGTAGACTCATATTCGAGAGAGAGCGCATCTCTGGGTTTTGGAAGTCATCTAGCTTATCAGTATCCCTGGTTGTCCCACGACTTCTGATCAGCCCTTGATATTGGCCTTCTAGCCGCGACCATAACTGGGCACGTGATATTAAAGCTTCCCAGTACCGATTTATGCCCCAGCATAGACCCGATAAATCCAACTTCAAGAGGGGGTTCGCTAGCCTTGATTCGATCCACTGGCGCAAATATATCGGTACTTTGTTTTCAATGTCCACTGGTACCGATATAGAGAGTACAGACTGTGTTTCTGGATCCGTTTCGTAGTGGATGGATAATTGGAGTTGTCTAGAAGGAAAGGGACACGGGGCAGACAGTTCTAGGATATGTTTTTCCAAATGCATGTCTGGGTCCGAGCCGCAGTAAGTATTTGAATATGCTTTGAGTTTCAATGGCGCGAATATTGTTAGATACGGTTCAGCTTGAGAAAGTTTATCAAGAGCAAAAGGATTCGGCGGAGGATGCTCTTCTGAGGTTATTGGAGTACACTTCGTAGAAAATGGAAGCAACGTCGAAATGAAAGAAGATATGGACATATCATATGGGCCCGGCTTTGCGGGTATTGCCTTGATGGGATCTTCACACAATATTGACCTGTTCACTAGTCAGGTCAATTTTCAAATGACTGGATATAATATACTTACACAAGTTTGCCCATATCTAGTTCTGTATCATCGACATCGTATCTTGAGCTCCTCGACCAATTCTCCAATTCAACGATGTCATCGCCAAGTTGCTTTATCTCGGTGGCAAGTTGCGTTGTCAATCGCCGTTTTCCCAAAACAGGCTCCGGAAATAGTCCTTGGGCCATATTTGAGTTTGACACCAGTAGATCTTCGTCGCCCTCTCCATACTGAACGTTCCTAAGCTTAGAGGGGCTCCGTTCTAGATGGTCAGTGGTTCGTCGTTTTCCCCAGCTACCATGCTGCATAGTCGGGCTGCTGCTCAGTAGTCCTTTTGGCCGTGCAGGGGGTCTTTCTAGGCCTAATTGTGTTGGGGTTGGGGGTAGATCAGGTTCTTCAAGCCCTTCATGCAAGCCTGTATGCGAATTGACTTCACCCGTTGCGTTACTCAATTCAGATGCTAACTGGTCGTCTGGGCTATCAGGTAGTCCACGATCCAATTTATTTCCCCGGGTCACTATTGGAGACTTGAATGACAGGTCTGAAGGAAGAATTTTCCTCGAGACTCGCCTCGGAGGTGCTGCGAACGCTTGAAGACCGCTTAATCGCCTACTTGGCGAGCTTTTGTCCAGCCTTAGGCTTGCATCTGAAACCAGCGAGGGTCTAAGGGCTTTTCTATCGCGTAACCCAAAAGCTCTCGTTTCAGCTTCGTTTATAGGCCTTTGTGAGCTCCTCTTCGATGAGTTGCTGGTTGCGCGCAGCGGACTTTCTGGTCGCGACCGCGCTAAGCTTTCTCTTGCTGGTTCTTGATGTGATGCGCGATCGGGCGGGCGCTGTGCATGAGGTTGCGGGTTCATTGGCGACGTGTTGAGACAGCAGCGCTATACTTATTTCGTGCCGTCTGATATGATGATAGATGCCTAAGAATTTATAGATACCCTATATGCCAATGCGGATCCTTCACAACCACTTTGGGGATTGTGTCTTTGTCAAGAATTGATCCTGAGGATGCGATCTGCAGACCTTGCGATAAGCATACATCGCGATGCGCCATTCAAAATGTTTGCATTGTTTGCAGAATGACATACCGTCTGCCTCGGAAGTCAAAGAGCACTTCCCTCCCCAACGTTCTTCCTGGTAACCTTCCGGCACTACAGGGTTTCTCTTCATGGGTAAAGGGCATTCGGTGTTCATAATGGCCCCCCGCTTGTCAGGCATGGGTCACGTTTTACCTATAAATCAGGCGCGCTCTCTCCCTGCATCAGCACTATCTATCGGACGATATGCACCGTTTCCGTCTACCCGACGAACAGCCAGCCATGCACATACCAAATCCCAAGATACGACAGCATACTTGAACAATTTAGAACCCCCTCAAGCACATCCATTATCGGGGTATTATCATGACATACTTTCATCTCGCTCCCCTTACAGACGCCAAGCAAGTTCCTCGCGTCCTATTTCTAAAGGACTAGATGATGAGCCGTCAACATCTTCGAAAATTGAGCCTCACTCGCCCCAGGATAAGATGTCTATTGTATTTGGCACTCGTCTTGCTGGCCCCGGTCGCTCTTCACGGTATAATCCCGGTGCGACGCCATCAGAGTCTACATGGAAAGCTATAAATGGGGTTGCTATACCACCGAGGCCAGAGGAACCTGACAATTGCTGCATGAGTGGCTGTGTACATTGCGTCTGGGATGATTTTCGTGATGAGATGGAAGATTGGGCGGCGAGGGTAGCGCAGGCTAAGGCCAAAGGCGCTTCGAAAGGGCCGACTGGGGGTTTGCTCCACACTCCCAGGGCGGAGGTTGCTTCTGCGAGCACTAGCATGGATGACGATGGAGGCGGGAGTGAGACAAAGTGGACTATCCCCGATCAGGCAGACGATCTGTTTGCCGGCATCCCAGTTGGGATCCGAGAGTTTATGAAGACGGAGAAGAAATTGAGGCAAAAACACCAGCACTATGAAGGATCATAAGCATTGACTTATCATTATTTTTTATTTTTATTTCTTTATTTCTTTCTCTTTCTTTGTTTGACTTTGTTCCCTAGCACATACCTCGTATTGCTCGGGCTGGGGGTCGCTTCTTTCATACCTAGTGAGACCATTATATATAGAGAGAAAGGTTAGATCTAGATGTACATACCACGCAATGACGCTACGAGCTCGCTAATAATATAATCAGCGTAATCTAATATAGTATTCGCCTATATGCGCTTTAACTGTGTGGTTAGAAGAATCGAACCTGCAGGATGTTCGAGATAGTACCTAGGCAAAGTAGTGAATGAATTTATGCCACGCCAAGGCCAATCAGATTTATCCATGATATTCAACTTAAAATAACCCAAAAACATAAGAATATATTTTATTTCAACCGTCCATCTTGACCTCGTGTTTTGTTTTTCTTTCCTTTTACCCACCCCCTCAAAAGGGATACTCTATCAAATATCACATAAACCAAGAAAATGGCTATATACGCCACTATTATCTCATGAATATCCTTCATGTGGCGATCAATACGTAGTAGTACCGCACCTTCACCTGGCGTGCGGCAATGCAAAGCCATATGGTACAGCCTTCTACCTTTTCTTATACATGCGACACAACTTCAATGCTAACTATTGCCCTGTCATAGAGCATTAGACATGTTTCGTGCTTTAAAGATGGTCCTTCACAAATACGTCTCGCTCCTCTAAACCCGACGCGACCTTCCCAACCTCGCAACATCGCAGCTCGTCGCTACACCACAGTGTTACCTAGCGTTCGAACTAGAAATCTGGCCACGGAAGTATGTAGGTCACTCTTGGAGCCGAGACGCGTGGGGCTTCGCGGTTCTCTAGCCCCCTACTGTATGACCAAGACAAGATCAACCGCAGCGTGTGCCTTTGAACAAGAAGCTACAAAAGCATCCTTGGAGCGGTCCCGAAGCCAGGAAAGGGGCTCTGTAGCTGAGAATGGGTCAGCGTGCGACGACAGTGGTTTGCTTTCGAGAATACCCGACGTCAATACAGCTAGTGCTGTAGACGAATCACAATATGTTAGCGATGCCCTTCCTAGAGAGGAAGACTATAACGGTTTTGGAAAGGTGCTCTTGCGGTCTCCTAAGCCTGTCCTACAATCTGAATTTGTTCAGAAAGGGTTAATAAGGCTCAATTCTCGATTTGTTAGCCGTGGCAAGGACAAGTTCGATTGCGCTGTAGATTGCACCCTTCAGCATACATCTACAATTATAGCCACGTCCGGAACAGGAAGCTCGAAGGTAAGGTATGATAAACGATAGCTCGAATTAGCTGTCTAAGCTAATTTGGGTCAGTCTTCAGCAGAACTGCAGGCCTTGTTGGCCTTGATCTCAAGGCTCCATACAAGTGGCTCACTGCAAGAGCTCAACGAATTAAGAGAAGAATTGCAATACATGAAGCTACATATAGATGAAGACATGTTTATTGTCATGTTTAGGGCCTTGAGGGATCTAAAACGTGCCCGCCACTTTTCCACGGCAAAGTGCAGTGGAGGACAAATAGGGAGTTCTATTTCTACTGACCAGGAGGGTTTCAATGAGCAAAACAAAGCCGATAGCTCATTGGGCTTGCCTATTGGTAGGCTGTGGAAGCGTCAAGGAAGGTTGCCGATCAGCAGAAGAAAGGATGACATACTTGACCTTATTGAGAAGAACACATATTCTCTCATTGTAGCAGATACTGGTTCCGGAAAGTCAACACAAGTGCCCCAGATGCTGCTCGACGATGCTATGGTCAAGGGCTCTGGAAGTTCATGCAAAATACTCTGCGTCCAACCTCGCAGAATAGCAGCGACTTCACTTGCTAAGCGGGTTGCGAAAGAAAGAAGGGAATCACTTGGATACTCCGTAGGGTATCAAATTCGATTCGATTCTCGACGTCCCACAAGACTGGGCTCAATCACGTATTGCACAACAGGTTATCTCCTGAATATGCTGCATTCTGAGTCCTACCTGGTGTCTTTCTCCCACATCATACTCGATGAAGTTCACGAACGAGCCCTTGACCTCGACCTACTCATGCTTTTTCTAAGAAACTTCGTCGATCAACGCCGTGGCCTAGGGTTACATGCACCTAAGATTGTTGTGATGAGTGCAACGCTAGACGTGGGCCTCTTCGCTTCATACTTTCAGAATGCTGTCGACGACGGAGGTCGCTTGCCTGCTCCACATCTTTGTATTCCCGGTCGCGCTTTCCCTGTTGGCAAACATTACCTAGATGAGGTCATCGAGTCTTTGTCTAGGTTCTACTCCCCGCGAGCACTATCATTGTTGATCGATGAACCCCAGACAGCAAAGTATCTCAGAAGATACAACCTTCTGCCAGTGACAAACCGCCCGAATTCTGACGAAGAATGGATCGATGGGGACCAGCATTTGCAGGACTCGATTTTGCCACAATCATCTTCGTCCATATTTCGAGAAGAAGATCCTTTGATACCCCTAGGCCTCATATGCGCGGTTATATGTTATGTGTTGTCTAGTACAGAGGGAGGCTCTATCCTGGTCTTCCTCCCAGGCTTACGTCACATCATGGCCGTTGAAAGTGCCGTCCAAAAACATGGAAAGATGCTAGGCTGTGACTTCTCTGATTATAGGCGATACAAGATCCTGCAGCTCCACTCAAACCTTCCCGATGGTCAGAAAGAACTTTTCAGGCCAATTTCGCGGGATTGTCGCCGAGTTATCTTGTCTACTGATGTGGCCGAGACTTCGATAACTATTCCAGATGTTAAGTTTGTCATTGATATAGGCAAGGTAAATCAAAGGATTTATGAGCCACACTCAAGGTCAACCCGGTTTGCATGTTGTTGGATTAGTCAATCCAGCGCTGCTCAGCGTGCAGGCAGGGCTGGCAGAGTCCAAGCAGGTGAGTACTTTGCTCTTTTTACGAGGGATATGCACAATTCTTTCCGCGTCACCAGATTTCCAGGAATGATGCGGGAGGACTTGCAGCAGACTTCTTTGCAAGTGAAGCGGACAGTATCGTCTGCCTCCATTCAGGACACCTTACGAGATTCCATTGAACCCCCGGACGAGGCCAAGGTGGACTTGGCAATTAGTAACCTACAACTCTTGAGAGCACTGGATGAGAAAGAGGAGCTTACCCCCCTCGGAGTCCTTCTCTCAGAGTTGCCACTTGACCCTTGTCGCGCAAAGCTGGTTTTGTTGGGGGTTATATTTCGCTGTCTTGATCCGCTTCTCATTATTGGGGTAATCGGGGGCGACCAATCTTTGTTCTACTCATCAGCAGACCAGGAGACACGTAAGGATGTGCACAGGGCTCGTGTAGAATTTTCACGAAATACCTGGAGCGACCATCTTAGCATGGCCAACGCATTCAGGGCAACCCGTGAGGTCTGGTATCGAACGGGTCGTGCAGCCGCATTTGAGTTTGCAGTATCGAACCATATACACTTTGATCGCGTCTATGAAGTGCTACAGGCTGCCCGTCATACGCTTGAGATCCTAGCTAAGAAAAAGATTATTTCCTGCCATGAACACCTGGATGAGCACTTCCAGTTTGGAGGTGCCAGCTTGAATACCAATTCATGGCGTACCCCACTTATTAAAGCTCTGCTCTTTCATGTCATGTATCCCAATCTTGCAGCTCCTTCGTCAGCTTCGCGCAGGCGTTACTTTACTGAGACAAATGAGATGACACACATATCACCCTCTTCTGCCAATTCCACGGAGCGACCAAGGAGCCTGTTCATCTTCAATTCGAAGAACAAGCCTTCTTCGGGGGAAACTTATTTTCTAAAGCAAACCTCACATGTCACGCCGCTCGCCGCTTGCCTCCTGGGAGGGCGACTGCAAGGAAGTGGCCGCAGAATATGCATGGACTCATGGCTGGACTTCTTAGTCCAGGCCAATGAGGGGACGGGAGACGATCGTGCAGCCAGATTATTGATTGAACTTCGAAAGACAATACAAATGGTACACCAGCCATTATATCCCGTATGTAGTGTTTGGAAACATTAACTAACACCTAATCACTAGGCATTCGATGCAGCTTTTCATTCCTTAGGCTGTCTAGAAAACTACCAGCCCACTGAAGACCCTAAGTCTACCAGATCACACGACATACTCTTCAATATGATATCTGAAACCTTGATAGATATCCTTGATAGGGATAACGATCCTGTGTATTCCAAGCGCGTCAATACAGCGACACAATGGGCATAATGTGACTGTCTGTCACCACAATTCTTATGGCCTATTTGCGCTCGTTTTTGTGACTTGGGTCAATGTTCTTGTAATGAAAGTCTACATACCATAATAAAGTGTACATATGCAAGGACTAGAGTACGAGGAACCCACCGAGTTGACCGTACAGGCAGAGCTTGCAATTGTCATTAGGCGCCAAGACATACAAGACATACAAGTAACCCCACGATTTGAAGAACTGAGTAAGCGGTGGGCGTTATGCCGCGTCCTTCCGCCTCGCTATCGCAAAAAAAGTTGGGTGTACTCCGTAGATAAAACCAAAGAGAAAGAAGAGCAAGGGTGAGGCGGGATAGCCGACACCATGTCTTTATCCAAGACAGAAACAGATGTCATATTGAACAAAGCCAACGTTGCTTTAGCACGCAGTCAGCGACTCGTCGCCTCATGGCTACCCCCGAAGACTCAGGAAGAACAAGCCAATACAAAGTCTGAAGAGGAGTTACAGCGAGATGAGGATGAGGTTTTCACAGCTGTGCCGGAAACGTAGGTCTTACTTTATGTCATGCTTTGGAGAATAATCTTCCCTACCCCCCCCCCTCCTCCTCTCCTCCTTCTTATTCATTTAATTAATTATTTATTTATTTCCCCCTCCCCCCTTCTTTCCCTATGTGATATATGACTAGCGCTGATTGGATGATGGCTACAGTTTAGGTGTTGGCGCACCCCTTCCCTCCAGAGCAGCAGATGGAAGTTGGAATCGCACTGAACTTGACTCCAACGATAAACTGCGGAGACAACTTCTTGGGAAGAATTACAAGACAATTATGTCAGAGAGGAATGCAGCGGCGGGTCGACAGCCGAGCAGCATGGGGTGCTCACCAGGTGTTAGCTCTACTACGAATCAGTCCCAGACTACAGCGGGCAAAGCTGATGACGATGATGACGATGACGAAGGACGAACGGCCTTAGTCGGGAAGAAGGGTCCGACTAAGAAAAGAAAAGCGGAGTCTAGTCCGAGGACTCTCGACCCCGTCGTAACTGAAAACGACGATCGTGGGGATCGGGTTGATGATGGTGGAGATGGCGAGGATGAGACATCGGTGAAGCAAGGGGACTCATTAGCACAACAGCCATCTCGACTAAAAGGCAGGAGGAAAGCTACAAGTTTCTTAGATGAGATTCTTGCTGAGCGGTCAAGGAAGAGGAAGAAGAAATAAACTCGTCTCCTGCTCAAGCTCTCATGGTCGAGGACTAGATTTCAATATACCCCGTATATCTGCTTGAATTACTTTGACGATACATATACAATATACAACAATAGAATTATATACATACTCGTAACCTCACATAGCGTATTTTCCTGATCTGGAAGGACCGATCCCACTCTTAGATCTACGTATATACTCGAGTATGAGCACCTAGATATCAACATGCATTCTCGGTTCTAAAGAATATCCAAGAACTTTTTGGCCCTACCAACTCGAGGGTGTGTGATATACGGCAAATGAAGCCTGGGATGCTGGCGTCAGCAACGCAGCCATAGTATGTCACATGCTAACATCCACCCTTGATGTTACACAGATATCCATGCTGGCGGAAGAGTAATAAGCGCCACCCTAAGTTTGAATAAGAATGGTTGGGGCGTCCGCAGTCCCAAAGAAGTCAGATCGCCAAAGGATTGTGTGATTGTCGGTTCACCAAGTTTTAGACAATTAGAAGAATCCAGATAGTACGACAAAAATCCCAGGATATGCAGCACTGCAAGTTTAGCTTTTCGCTTGTCTCTTTGTTTCCGGAATGCACGCCAAACGGGAAGGTCGAAGCTGAACCAGTAGTTGATCCTTGGTGTTATTTTCGTCCAATGTCAGACTCTAATAGACGCATCGTTTAGCGCGAAGAGCACCACTCAAGTAGGTACACCAATGTTCATTTACTCCAGACGCTTTCTTTTTCGATCCTCGAGTGTGGTATGCTGATCCTCGTCGGGTCTTTCAGCGGTATCAGCCGGATTTAGCAACGAATGAACATTGCTAGCCATGCTTGACCGTCTTGTTGCAGGTAAAGAGGTGTCATGCCGAGCGAACCTCGGTCCCAATGTCCAACTATTATCGGCGGTAGCTCCGGAGTTTGTTTGGTCGGTATTCAAAGGAGGAGTAGCGTGACGCGAGGTATCCTGTAGACGTCGTGGTGCCCCCATCTCATACTGTGCTAGAACTTCTCGAACCTGCTGGTCACTTGAAGTTGGGGTTCGATGCGGTGACGGAGACCAGGGAGCTGTTGCTGTACCAGGCTGGTGAGCAGACTGGAATGGTGACACGCCAGGGGGCGGCCAGCCATGCTGCCGAATGTCTGCGGATGTATGTCGACGAGCCAAGTTTGGGCCCGGCGGGGAAGAGACGGATGAAAGAGGATGCGGCATCGGCTGTTGTGGGGGAATAACTGTTGGGACCTGCGGGCGGCCATAAGTTGGGGAAGAATTTGCCGCGCCAATTGAGCCATATCTACGAGGCGATACAGCTAGATGTGAAGGAACAGGTGGCCGTATCATGTTGGGTCTGGTCGCATCCATCACCGAAGGCCGACGACTGTCTTCCTGTGGTATTTGACGCGGAGATAGAGGTGGACCTGGATCAATCGATACAGTTGGGACGTAGGGCTGTCGAACAGATAAATACGGATCAGGGGGATGCTCGAGGGCTCGCACGCTGTCGAGGTGCTTTTCCAGTTCTGCCTGCATGCTAGATACTAGAGATTGTTAAAGACCATTTGAAGTCCTGGCAATTCGTTTATGTGTATGTTGTATTACTACTCACCATCTCTGTACAGGAGACCTTCACGATCTGGAATCATACCTTGCAGAAAGCGCGAGATTGAATGTGTCCACTGGGGAGCGTTAATAATCAATGATGAATTCAATTCAGAGGTACGGAGTGAAGACATAAAAGGCGTGAGACTTACATGATAGCACCTGCTCAAGCTCTCCGCCATGGCTAGGCACCTTGCATTGAGTGCCGCATTGCCTTCTTCAGCACGACTCAAGCGGTTGTGCATGTCGTACAGTGTATGCTCCAGATTCATCAGGCGAGCTTCGGTGGCATCAGGGACTGGTTCAGCTGGTGTGCCAGGTTGGGAAACAGCGGCTTTGTGGCCCGGAAACGAGTCGCGATGGATCAACGCATGTCGAGACGCTCGTCTTTTGATCTCCCGTAACCCAATCAGATCACCACGTTTGAAATTGCCATTCCCGTGTTTAAACTCCCAGAGTGTCGAGTCTGGTGATCCAGTGTGGAACACATCGCTCACTAAGGCACTCCATATGAGCAACAGACAAGGGACAAAACTCATTAACCAAACAGGTAGACATACCTTTATGAAAGCCATACATGTTTAATTGCCTTACGAACGACGAGATATTGGTATGTTTGAAGTATTGGCTAGTGGTTGATTAGCTATAAGTGAACTGGTGTAGGGGTCTGGCACGAGCGAAGAACGAACGAAAGGACTCTGGAAAATTCAGAAGTAGGTGACATGACGAAGCTGTCATTAGTGCTGGACCATGAAATTAGATGTTGGATACTTGGGTCCTCTAGCATACTGTCGGGTACTATCAGCATGGACTAACTTGAGAGCATCTCTAATAATATAGTTGGGGCAATCAAAATGTCACATTTTGCGAGGGGACGTACTTATACAACTTATGAATAAAGGCAGTTTGCACGACCTTGGGCTGCTGGGCTGCAGCTGCAGCTCCGATGGCCTGACTGGGCGCTGCATGATTGTGCACATGTGCAGGTTCAGTAGAACCATTGGAAGTGGCTATAGTATTTGCGCCCGCTCGATCATGGTCAGAATTGTTGTGGACCGAAGGCCCAGCGCCCGTTGCCGCTGCTGAAGCAGGCGGAGTGACCTCCATAGGATCACCCATCGGTTGACCAGAAGATGGAACGGAGGAAGAGAGGAGGGGGAGCTTTCGTGTCCTGCCTGGCGCATCTGTAGCGCCAGAAACTACGGTATTTCTAGACGGGGGATCGGCGAGACCGCTCATCTCGCGAGGCGGAACAGGGGAAGAGGGGCCCGGCCAAGGGCCGCAGCAGCGAGACGTGAAACAAGATCGCGACTATTTTTGCGAAGAGTGGAATGGCGTGCCGATAGACAGCGGCGTGAAATATGTCGGCTGATGGTCGCTCGTGGACGACAGGTGAACGTGGGAAGGCTGGATAGTTATCACGGAGTCTGGGCTAAGAAGGCGTTGATCAACACTCAGAGGGTCTCCGCTTTCCTTCCAAGAGTCATTGCGAGTTTGTCCTTTGATCTATTGGTGTCAATGGGGAAAAGTTTCTGTATCCCCAACATTTAATTGTCAAATATATCTCTCCCTCCCTCTCTTTCTCTCTCTTTGAAAAAAAAAGAAAAGAAAAAGAAAAAGAAAACCCCTTTTCTGTGATTTGTTTGGTTGATTTTGTTTCGTTTGATTTCTTTTTCTTTTCTTCCACTTCCCTCCTTTTGAGTTTCGTTTTCTGTCAACTAGATATTCAAGGTATGGGTTGAGCTCGCGATGAAAAGGGGTAAGAAAATTCGATCGTAAAGACGTGGTAAGAACTTCGCGGCAATATAGATCTGCAGGGAACAGCTAGTTGTTGAATAGCTTCTTTTTTTTTCTCATGGGCCGGATTTTGTCCTCGGCGGAAGACGGCCAAACGGGGGCGGGAGCTGCCGATTGTCTTTGTTCCTTTATCGAACTTGCAAATCAATACTATCAAACATATAATAATGATAATTCCAACCCTATTGTAAAAGCGGGTCGGAAGAGTATAGAGGTCCCTAGGATATGGTCGAAGGTGAGTCCTAAAGAGGTAGGGAAGAAGAAGAGGAAAAGAAAAGGGACCTAAAGGCGATGATTGAAGGAGAAGCATGCATGGATCACGGGAAGGTCTGGAACAATTAAATGCACGGAGCCGCAACCCTGAACAACCAACGCACCTCTCAACCTGGAATGCCACAGACAGTCTAGTGAACATTGGCTTATTATTTCTTCTGCTTGTTATGCGTTCCTTCATAACATCTTTGGAGCCTCTTAAATGTGTGACTTATACCTCGCTCGCTCTCTCTCTCTTTCTCTATATAGAACTCCTAAAAAAAGCAGTGGCCAACGACTACTATGGATCCTGAAGTACAGGATATCCTCACCCGGTTCAAACACTTGAAGTCTACCTCTGCTCGCCGAGCTTTGTATGTAGAACAAAAGAAAGGCGAAATAACGAGGATCGCTTCCCAATCGTATGCTAGTAAACATAGCTAATTATTGATACCATAGGTACCATCTTCTCCTGGAGCAGATGCATCCTTATGAATGGCGTGATGTGCGTGATCGCATGAACCAAGTTTCCTTCCAAAAAGACATCCTAGGCAGTTTACCTACCGAGGTTGCTGTAAAAATTTCCAGGCATCTAGATTTGTCAGAAATCCATATTTTCCGAAGAGTATGTTTGCCGTTACGTATATTTAGTGACCTATCTCCCCCAGACTAACATTATATTGTAGGTCTCCAAGCGATGGAATTTTCTGCTATCCTCTAGGTTATTCCGCGATGCTGTGTGTCATCGGTATGTTGGGCACAGCTGCAGGTCCATCGTGCTAGATTCTCCAGATGCATTTACACAATATGCCAAGCAGCATGTTCGTTTGGAACGCGGACAACCGATCTCTAAGGTCCTTAACCGTCCATATTCTCCAATACCAGATGCGACAGGCTTGGTTAGTCTTGAATTTTCGCATGGAAGCTATGCATGGATTGAAGACGCGATAGTCTACGTCCATAACCTCCACTCGAATACGATGCAGAGCTTCTGCACAGAAAACCGGGATACATTCACTGCACTACGCATTTCTGAATCCATTGTAGCAGCGATAACACTGCATGGGTAAGCATAGATGCATCCGAATTGTGCCTCACCTTTAACATATGTTGGCTGATGCTGCAGGTCCATGCTCTCCGAGCCTCAAGGTTCTGTCATGTCTGGAGCCTCCAAACCAACGATTCGGCGTATTTCCGGCTGCCATCGTTACAATGGAAAATCTTTGTTGTTCGCGGTATGAACGTCGCCATAGCATACAACGGCACCATGGCCAGCGGGCCAGACTGTATTATACACTGGCAGCTTGACTGCCGCGTTACTCGTACGTTTTATATTGCGAACAAAATAGCATACCTAGACGTGGACCCTACTTCAAGGACTTTGATCACAGTTCACCTCGAGAAAACCGTGGATCCTGATACTCCCATGCACACCCATTGTTGTCCCGCCATATATGCACAATTACGTGTCAATAAATATCCATTCAAGGATACTGTTGCCATTCCGTCCCCATCTTGCACCGTGGCACTATCCTCATTTGCAGACCCAGCTGGGCATGTGGAGATAGATGATGCTTTGTCCTTATCGTTTGGAAATGCAATGGGGATCTTAACATCCGGGCGAGGCGGACATCTAGCAGAAACGCCCGGTGTTATTGCCGCTATTACTTACAATCAAGGAACTGGCAGGGTTAGCGTAAATACGGTGTCTGCAGAGAACACGCCATTCATCCCTTTATGCATGACATCTGTTGATAGTAACATCCTCTACTATGTCAAGAACGACAATGGTAAACCAGAGATCTGGATCTCCAATCCAGATGCCAGAATCGCCCACCGCCCTGCCAGATGGATCAACCCCCAGTTACCTAGGGAGGCGTCAAACAGGGTCTATTCTCATGGTACTCATTTCATACTTAGAGGAGATCGTGACTTCATTTTAATGGTTGATCAGAATGGACTGAAGGTTTGGTGTTTTAACGAAGACATGAGTCTGTCAAGCGCAATTCCATTATAAAGAACCTGAAAACACTACAAAACCAACAAGCCTGCTTGATCGCCGTTTGGCTTTTTGTTTTCCAGACACCTGCTTTGTCTTTGTGCCTCAGAATTAGACAAATTCTCCAGTATTGCAAACATACAGCCTTGCCTACACGGTTAGTAGTATATGTGAAAGATCCAGTGCTTCCCAAAAGGGTGAAAACGTCTCCAGCTAAATGAGTAATGAATACATTAACAAAGGAAAATAAATCTGGAAATAGACGATATACAGGACTATCAATGAATGCTCTATAAAAATTCCCCCCACGACTTTCTCATGAATACCTGATATCAGTCCTTCACAAGTAGGCCTCCTTATTACCCAGGTTCAGCAGCCCATCTGCTGTTAAAAATTCAGTTAGCATAGACTTAATGCGCATGATCGCCGAATCATCTCTGAAGAACTGCTTGCTCTCTTCGTATAATCGAGTAAGCACCTTCACTGATGATGTCCCATCTTCCCATACAAAGTAATAAAATGCAAATTCAGAGCGGAACACCCACATGTGGAGAAATTTGTAAGGTTTTAACACGACGCAGAGCTTAGATACCAAGAGTAAACTCGACACCCACGTCGATTTCACGGGCCATCTTTACAACTTTCGAGAATTGAACAGATTTCTCAGCGGCATTCTGAAGGTCCTCAATGGAAAAGATCTTCAGACCAGACTCGTTCAGCTGTGAGAAGTATTAGCATACATGGAAGCTACCGCAGCAAGAAGGGAAAAAAGATGATGGAAAGGGGGAAAGAAATGGGCTCAGCATTGCATGCATACCAGTTTGTGAGCCTGCTCCATGTTAGTACCCTGCAAACGCGCAACAATAGGAGTGCGCAGTCCCATCTCGTTCACAACATTGATCAAGCCCTGAGCAATAGCATCACAGCGAACAATACCGCCAAAGATGTTGACAAAGATGGCTGACACCTTGGGATCGCTGGTAATAAGTTCGAAAGCAGACTTGATGGCAGCAGGGGTAGCACCACCACCAACATCAAGGAAGTTGGCAGGGCTACCACCGTTAAGCTTGATGATATCCATAGTAGCCATGGCGAGACCAGCACCGTTAACTAGATCTGTGATTAGCATAGAAGAGACGAGCAACACATTGCAGTTCTTACCCAAGCAGCCGATATCACCATCGAGTTTGATGAAGTTCAATCCGTGCCTATCGCACTTATTAGCACACATGAAAGCTCATGCGTAGGTTAAAGCAAATAGCATACTCAGCAGCCTTAACCTCATCGGCGTCTTCTTGGGTGGTGTCTCTCCACGAGAACACTTCCTTTTGTCTGAAATCTGCGTTGTCATCAAAGCCCAACTTGGCATCCATGGCCATAACCTGGTGGTCAGAGGTCTCTGACAGAGGGTTGATCTCGATCTGAGTAGCATCCTTCTCCATGAAGACCTTGTAAAGCTTCTGAATTGTGTCCTTGGCCTCCGGAATGCACTGCTCGGAGAAACCGAGCTCAGTAGCAATCTTGCCAGCAATCTCATCAGTAACACCGACATTAATGTCAACGGGGGTGGTGATGATGGCTTCGGGGGTCTCCTTGGCAACGGTCTCAATGTCCATACCGCCTTGTGAGGAGGCGACAATGACGGGGCTCTGTGACTGGCGGTCCATGAGAACGGCTAGGTAGAACTCACGGCGAGCGAACTTGCGCTCGCAGATATACACAGCGTTACAAAGACGACCGGCAGTACCGGTCTGCTTCGTAATGAGATTGTGTCCGATCATTTGGCCAGCGAACATCTTGGCTTCCGTAGGTCTAGGGAGATATTCTGTGTCAGATACAAGGAACCAAACCGACACACTTAAAACCTGGCCAAACTCACGAGTAGATAACGCGCACGCCGCCCTTGAGACCATTATCGAAGCTACCCTTGCCACGGCCACCGGCAAGAACTTGAGCCTTGATGACCATGTCATCATTGCCTGACACCCTGTGTCTTAGCAAACTGCGATGTATAAGGACGAGGGATTAAACCATACCAAGGGACTTGGCAACAGCTTCGGCTTCCTCAGCAGAGTAAGCGACCTCGCCCTTGGGCATTCCTACACCATACTGTGTATCCGATCGGTTAGTTCTGAGAAACGAAGGAGAAAGAAAATCAAGACATCCGGTTGTTCGTACCGACTTGAGGAGCTTCGCGGACAGATGTTCATGGATCGACAGGTTCCTCTGTTGCTGGCAAATGCGAGATTGAACGGAAGACTCCTATGGGAAATTTCAATGTCAATTAATGTGCTGTTGTAAAACTCGAAGGTTCGGGCGAAACTAAGGAATCTCACCGTCGCAGCTCTGAAAGCTGCCGCAATTGGCCTGCTGCGCACGAGCTTGAACATGATGAAAGTGAATAAAGAGGGGAGAGGGTTCAAGAGAAGCTCGTTGAAGGGTAAGAACGGGGGGGAATGACTAGTAGAGTCCTGAATAGCGGCGTTTTGCCAGGTGGTGTTAGAGGCTGATGGGGGAACAGCTTTCTTTTTTACGGCCGCACTCCTCGGGATGATACTGTCTTTTGCCTTGAGTACGGTAGGATCAGGGTCACCTGATAAGCCAACCAGCGTGCGTCTCGGGATGACTAATCGGTTCGGGACGCGAATATCACGGAACGATGCTTTGAACTCGGGTACTGTGGCATACAGAGTAGACAGGTGGCAGATGGGGAAGGTATTGTCAAATTTTATTAAAGGATGGGTAACACATACCAATCGCCTATGCGTATCCGTGCACAATTGACAAGCATGTTGTTCTTTTTCATTATTATAGTCATATCCTCTACAGCATATCAGTATTTTTATATTCACCGGCAAATAGTTTAAACGGCTGTAAGCAACAACTAAAAACAAAAGTACTACTTAGCCACGTTATTTGGCGACATGAAATTAATAAATGAGTACTATCAAAATGGGCACAGGGTATCTCCGCGTGATATTGCTGTGCACTACTATCTAATAAAATGTAGTCTATGATGTGGATATGCTATTAAATATCGTGAAAAGCAAGCCATTGTAGAAAGTAAGTGGAATATCTTCGGTCTCCTTATTTTTCACCAACCTTCCTCAGCTTATAAAGCTTAAACATTCTTGTCATGGTGTAGTGGAAAATGCCAGTCCATGCCCAGCCTCCAGAAAGTAACCAAATCAACCAGCTCTTGTTGCCTTCCCATATCCAGCTCTTACGGCCTTGAGCCCATGGCCACAACCAGCGTCACGGTGCTGTTCCATACAAGATCTGTGTGACAACACTCCTTGCATATACAGTGTGTGGCATTGCACCATCCTGGCTGTGCATCACGCGACGGTTATACTCATCTTCAATGGGAGCATAAAGTGAGTTCGGTGCTAGGGTACGTTTAACACGAGCAATACGAGATTGCACACCTCCAGTAACAATGGTTGTCACGTTTACACTACTTAGGTTATTGCCAGCTAAAATGTCTGGGAAATGAGCAGGTTACGCACCCGAAGGGAGCTAATTCCACTTTAAGAGTATCATTGAACGAATGCAGCGCGGCTTTTGAGGCATTGTACACTGATCCAAACACATAGGGGATGACCTAGACAGGTTTAGCTTCATTCTCTGCCGAACATATATGTTGCATAAGCTTACCCCTGCGACAGAGCCAATCTGTACGATAGTACCCTGGGCCTTCTTAAGTAGCGGGAGGAATGTTTGGCACATGTTGATGACCGCAAATAAATTCGTTTCGAAGGTTGCATGAGCCTCAGCAAGGTCTACTTTCATGGCAGGAACAGTATAATCTATGATATATGAGCCATTCCTTTCTTTTTAGACGGCGCGCAAGCAGTGTGCATCAGGGCAGTGATCTTAAAGAGACGTACTCCGGCCCCTAGAGACGCGGATCAGCCCTCTGTTCTAGCTATAGTTAATGTGAACTGACGCATTGTTGACTAGATAGTCCAGCCCTTTCTCTCCAAGCCTTGCTCGAACCTCTGCATAGCATGACTGGACACTCCTCTCGTCATCTACAACGAGACTCAGTGTTTCAATCCCGAGGTCTGTTAGACTCTGCAGTGCTCCCGTATCTCGCGCTGTCGCAAACACACGAAGGCCCTGTTGATGAAATTCACGCGCAAGCGCATTTCCTATCCCACCAGGGGAGCAACTGTATAATAAGCAACAAGAAGTTCAAGGGTAAGGGTACTGCCAATGCTATACGCGCTGTTTACACCACAGCATTTGGTGCAGGACCACTTGTTGTGACTTACGCTGTGATCAGTATGGAGCTCCTCTTGTCTCCCCTATTTGCAATAGTTCCAAAGCAGTCAATTGAGGTCTGTGGAGGCAGTATGGGCAAATAAAGATGGTTTACAGGATGAATATTTGGTCTTCCTAGCCTATTCCACGATGATCTATGGAGGCGAATGGCTTCTTCTCATTGGCTACACCGAGCCTCGGCAATCTAACCCGAGAGGCCGCCGCTTGTGAAATTGAACCTACGTAGTTCAGGTTATTGTCCACTTTCTGGCATAGGGTACTCCGTACTTTATGGCGATATATGGCGGAATCATTCTGTCGCCAAAGCAATTTCACTCAGCCTTGGCAGCGGGCTCTACTCCGTACGGAGTATGCAAATGCGCTCTATCGAATGGATCCTAAGGCCGTTGATTATACTAATTTTGAACAAGAAATACTAGCCGTAAATGTGGCCGAGTGGTTAAGGCGATAGACTAGTACTCTATAACTAGGTCAGAGAGACGGAACCCAGCAAGCAGTTGATGTGGTGATGGTAAAAGATTTTATAAAGACGACACAACCGTAATACGAAGCAGCAAGCAGCATCAAGAATCCACCTGAATAGTTACGGCGGACTAAATCGAGCTTCCGGACAAACCATCGATTTTTGATCAATTTTACCGAAAACTCGCTGTTTTACATCCGGCCACACATTTGCCTTTTAATTCCACCCTAATAATACTTACTATTGATTTTTTACATCCTATATACTAAGTATCTGCCGCAGTACCGCGATGCCTGATTGATATCTTATTTAGTTGGTAACTTAGACATCTGTAGTTACTGCCTATAACTATTAATAGGCCTATCGACTAATAATTATTATACAAGGTAGTATTATTCTATAATTAGTTATTGCTAAATAGAATGTACATAGCTCAATCAATATAATAGACTATAGGTATAGGCCGCAGAGAGCAGAGATATACTGAATTCTTATAACTACAGATTTTTTAATTAATTTAAATATAATAATTCTATTAGCTGGTTACCCTGTTGGAGAGTATATAATATATTACTAAGCAATTATTACTAATAAAGACTATAATATCATTGGCCGGCGTGTCACAGATCCGATAATGACTCTGCATAATAACTATATTATATACCCTGCCCGTTGTGCATATACAGCTCGGAGGCTGAACAGCAACAACAGATTACATATCCGTTGACTTTTCAATAGTATATAGTAGCTCCTTGTCAGTCTTAGCCTGTTAGGAGAATAAGGGGGCTTCTTCTAGATATAAAGTTAGTCTAGTATTAATAGAAGAAGAAGGCAAGAATCAGTCTTCTATCTGCCTGATATCTACTGCTTAGCTTTCGGCCTACGTACCCTTACCTAGTTGACAGGTCTTCTACCCTGAATAGTAGATATTTCTCTGACACGGCAAGTCTATTTGAAGCTGTAGAAACAACTACTAATATCTAAAATTATTAGTATAATTAAGAAATACTTGGACTACTTAATAGAGTCTTCCAGTAAGTCCTAAGCCCCCCTTTACTACTACTAACTTGACTTTTAGATCCGAAGATACTCTGTATTTCAGTTGTAATCGTGGCTACGATATACTGCTACGTAGAAGAGCTACCGGGTGTAGGAGAACCCTGCAGATCCACTAAAAGGGGCTGCCTGACCCAACATATATATAAAGACCGTAGCTACCCCCCAGACCTACAGAAGGTCGGCAACTCTCTACCTCTCATAGCATACCGCTACTTGCAATCTCACAGTATTGTTTTATTTTACTTTTTACTATCGGTTTCTAAATAAGTAATTACTCTGGCTTATACATATACTACACAAAACTAACTTTTACTCAGGAGACAATAGTTAGAGAGTGTAATTGAGGTATTTTATCAGAATATTTCTTTATAGTTAATAAAATTGTTTCCCTATACCATATAACAATATAAATCTCTAGGCTCTGATTGGTCGGCTAGTCTGTAGGATCGTGTAGGATAGTGTAGTATATTATGTAAGCTGTCGGAGGGCCTGGTGCGTTGGTGTTTGTAAACTTGGTAATATTTTACATTGTCCGGAAGCTCGATTTAGTCCGCCGTAATAGTAGCGCTAAACCCTTTCCAGTACAATTAACACTCCTCATGACTATGGAGCAAGGAGTAGTATCCTACTTATACTCCGCATAGGCAAAATGAATATGAGAAAGAGTCCCTTATTGCAGAACACTAAATCATTCTAAAATTACCAAGGCACCGAGAAAGAGATTATTGTACCATATTAGTCGAGTATGACATTCTCTTCAAAGTATACCCAAGAAAACTCAACTGTCACCATTCAACCTGGTCCCTTTGTGGTCTTTGGCCGAAAGCGCTTGGCTTTTGAAAGAAAATCTTGCATAAACAAAGCAATGAAAGAATGAAAGTCGCTCTGAGCTGTATTGCTGCTAAACGAATGGAAGTCTCTACAACGAGTTTAATCTAGTGTAGAGATACAGAGATACCATGACGTACTACTCTGGCTATTCAAACGCTCCCCCTCCCCACCGGGCTTCCTCCGTAGCACATTGTATGTATCCGGTGCAATACAATACTATGATACTAGTGACCAGTACAGAATACAAGATGGATCTAACCTTTAAAGTTGATTTTTCTTTTGCCTTTCCGCGTCCCCTTTCACTTGTCAGACTCTCATGTCGACATCATATTTACTCTAGATGGGAACTGTTTAAGAAGAGAACAATAAGAGATAAAGATATAAATAATATGATAATGAGAAGAATGGTGATAGCATTACATTTATAATTCCTCGATAAATATGTGAGGAGTCGAATAGTCGTAGATTGCAACTACTCCGAGAAATATACTTTATGGTCGTTTTGAAAGATACCTAAACATGAAAGTCAAGGAATTTTCGGAGCAAGCTAGATTATCTCCCGCATAGCTTCCTGTAAAACTCCGTACACTTATAGGCCTACTTTACACGTCCCGTTCATCTCCTGTTTAGCTTTTCTATGTACAAAGTAGTATGTGTACATTTGGCCATCCAGCATTTCTGACGATTTTAGACAAACATCTATTGAAATTAAAAATTGAAATTATGTACTCCGTATTTTCAAGCTAGAAGGGAGCACACCAGTACGGAGTAGTAGTGTATGGTCTATGGAGTACCCAGATGTATTTTCCAAGTGCCAGGCTGCACTGTAACTCCATCTTGAAGCTGCATTATGATTGGCCATAAACAATTCCCCATCAAGGAATTGGTGCCGATACCCGGGAAAGCCAAACAGATCTGCAATTCTCAAACCCCAGCGGAGCGGACACAGAAGTGTTTCTCTCTTTGGATTAGGGGAGGCAACATTTCAATCCATCTGTGCTTTCCTTTTTCATTTACGGAGTAGAGCCGCTGAGCCCAACGATCAGCATGCCTATATGGCTAGAATCCCAGTATGCTCACCCCATGCTCTTGACGCGGGCTGCAGGTATACTCGCTATTACCCGATGTCAGCTAACCTATATCTACCGTTAGATGCTCCTAACTACGAAGTATGTTCAATTTCTTGTTATACTTAATGTGAGACTACATAAAGCCAAAGTCATCAGAGTCTCACTCACTATACTATCAATTTTTCTTTCCTACAACACGAAAGGCATGAACAAGCAGTTATTGTCGTCCAACTAACCATACAAAGCTCGCAGTTGAACTGGATTGTTTATTCTTTATTTATTCATTTCGTATGATTTATCATACCTGCACGAGATTCCCCGTCTCTTCGCTTGAGATCTCTTATTCTGTGCCCCCAAGTGCTTTCTTCCCCCTCGTCTCACGGCAGAGGTCCACTGCGGCAGCCTCACCTTAGTAGGAGGTGTGAAGAGGCTACTTAAGTTGAGTATAGGTAATGTGGAGGGAAAGGGGGAAAAAGCGCCGGACCTCCTTGCTACAAATAGTCGCTTCGACATAGTGGGGCTAGGGGATGAATATGAATATCGAACTTCTACATCCTCGACACATGCCGAAGCCCGGCGACGATGGCTATCGTACCCCCACAATTGAGGATGCCGAGAATTTTATTGCAGTGCAAAGGAATGATAACTCACTAATTCCGTCCGCTGGGGCCTGGGCACGTCAGGCTCATTCCTCGGCGCTGGAAGCATTGCATAGCAACTCGTGCCGCAAGCCTGAAGGAGATGCTGTCGCGGATGTAAATGGCGTCCATCCTCACAACGAGCCCGACTATTCGACCGTAAGTCTCAGTTGGAAACAACGGATACGTCACTTTACCTGGGCATTTTTCACATTGACAATGGCAACTGGCGGGATTGCCAATGTTCTGCATGCAAGTAAGTTCGGCCATGCCTTTGGTTTGGGGCTGTAGTCTTGCTTACCAAAACCAGTACCCTATAGATTCCGAGGTCTGCAGATAATCGGTGTCATTTTCTTCCTATCCAATATCATATTATATGTCATCATATGGAGCTTGTTGGTTATGCGGTTTTATCGTTATCCCTATACGTTCAAAGCATCATTTTTGCATCCAACAGAGTCCCTTTTTGTCCCAGCCTCGGTAGTTTCGTTCGGAACAATTCTGATAAATATTTCACAATACGGGCCAGACAATACAGGGCCTTGGCTTGCACATGTTGTCGGGATATTATTCTGGATTGATGCCTGCCTGGCCATCATATTCTCGGCCGGCATATACCTCCTGCTGTAGGTCCAATTATTTTGACCAAAGGTGTTATGCCCTAAATTCTGATGACAAGCTAGGTGGTCAACGCAGACTTTCACCATCGCCCAAATGACTCCGATCTGGATTTTTCCGGCATACCCTTTGCTGATAATCGGTCCCCATGCTGGTATCTTAAGCTCAAAGCTAGAGCCTTCCCGCTCATTGCCGATTATAATTGGTGGCATAACTATTCAGGGGGTTGGTTTTCTAGTGTCCCTGATGGTGTATTCTGCCTTCATATATAGACTGATGTCGCAAAAGCTCCCAAGGGAGAACGTCCGACCCGGCATGTTTGTTTCTATCGGCCCTAGCGCTTTCACAGTTGCTGGGATCGTGAATATGGCTGCCAATGCTAAAAGGTGTTTTCCTGATGATTTCATGGGCAATGGGCCATTGGCCGCAGAGGTCATAAGAGTAGTTGTCAACTTTGCTGCCTTGTGGCTATGGGGGTAAGACTTTGTCACCAACCTGGTTGTTGTCATGTAACTGTTGACTGATTCATACATAGCTTGGCTATATTTTTCTTCTTCATAGCGAGTTTTGCTCATTGGTCAGCTATAGGGCCTGGTCGGATGATCTTTAGTATGGGATGGTTCTCATTTGTTTTTCCCAACACGGCGCTGATCACAGCGACATTCGCCATCGGCCACGCATTTTCCTGCAAGCCAATTCTGATTATTGGATGTGTTATGGTCGTTCCCCTCATACTAATGTACATATTCGTTTGCTATATGATGATCCGTGCTATCGCGTTACGCCAAATTCTCTGGCCACAGAAAGGCGAGGATAAAGATGAGGGTGGATTTGAGATCAACGAAATCAAGCCGGAATCTCCAGGTGATCATAGTCCTGCTTGAGATTACATATTTTTTCCCACGAAGATAAGTATGGCATATAGGTTTATGGCTTAGCTACAATATCACCTAAGGGCAAATCGTTTCTTCTTCACGAAATACAAGCTTGTCATACTTTGAGGTTCAGCTTCAAACATAGCTAAACTCCTACATGTGATATATTAAGGTACACGCCGCACAATGTACATTGGGCGTACCTGTACTCCCAATTGTTACTAGTGGCTGAATCAATTGACGTTGGGGATAACCATACTTAGGAAGGTAGGTATTAAAATTTAGTGCGCTAGTCCGGAAGAGGAATAGACCAACCGAGATGGTCATATTCTAATAGGCTATCATTGATTATCACTAGCCTCATATAGTAAGGCTGATACGTACCCGTCGTGCCGATAGACCCTTTCCAATGTCTCCTATCGCTGGGTGTGGATGCGGGAACGTTAAACTTGTGACGCAGATTTAGTTTTTTTTTTTTTTTTCCTTTCTCCCTTTACCCCTCGTGTGCTAGGAATCTTACCTTTGCAAGCACTAAATTTTTTAAACATCCACGATCAATTTTCGGTCTGTTCGATTGTTTACCAGATTTTTCCTCTGGCTGATATACTGCACTTGCCTGTACACTTGGTACAAGCCATCTCTGCCAAAATGTCGCAAAAAGTTTATGTCACCTATAACCAGGTATGGTCTTTTGCTTCCAGGTTGTCTAGTCGTTTTGTGTCTGCATCGATGTTCTAAAATAGCTACGCCGTGGTGCTATACCTGCATATGATACAGCTTATGAGTGTGTTGAATATGTTTCTGGTGTCGACGGCTCTTAGAAGGCGAGCGGCCATATTCGCTACGTCGATACCCCGTCGATCATTCATAGACTGACCCGCTAATACGTTGTTCTACCAGGTGCACAAGCTGTGCCAGTCCTCAGCTGATAAAATCCTAACCACCTTTCACCCTAATCTTATGATTGCTATTGGCGGTGGCGGATATGTCCCTGCTCGTATTCTCCGGTATGTCACTTGAATTCACTGCCTGTTAAGAGGCGTCTATCTGACCTGGCATTCATCAGGTCCTTCCTCAAGCGCGCTGGTGAGCCCAATATTCCCATTCAAGCCATCGGCCTGTCGCTCTACGAGGATCTGGGTCGTGGTGATGCCGAGGAGGTGCCGGGGACCAAGGTGACTCGGACACAATGGTTGGATCTTAGTTCTTTGGAGATGGCAAACCTTATCGGCAAGAACATACTTATTGTGGATGAGGTTGACGACACTCGGACCACTTTGGAATATGCAGTTCGCGAGCTTCAGAAGGATGTTGAGCAGGCACAAAAGCAGCTTGGACGGGAAGGCGAAAAGACGAATTTCTTTGTCTTCGTGCTTCATGTACGTCACCCTTGGTTTTTTTACAGTCAATTCACTTCTTTTGTTGGCCTCGATACTAATCCTGCAATAGAACAAGAACAAGACCAAGAAGGGAGTACTTCCCGCTGATATGATGGATTCCGGTCGCTATCATGCTGCCGTCACAACTGACGATGTTTGGATCTGCTATCCATGGGAAGCCAAGTATGTGATCTGTTATACTAGCACTGGGCTTGCGGTAACTAACAGATCTCTAACAGGGATATTGATGAACATGATGCGTTGGCCAAGGAGAACCCTCTCTTTTAAAGCCTTCGTTTAATTCCTTATAAACATTTCCTCCATGCCTACGCATTTTGGCTTTCATTTGCTGGCGTATATTTTTATTATCATGACCAAAACATGATTGGGCATGTCACGATATAAACGGTGCCTTGACGACAATTGATAGACATAAAAAAGCAAGAAAATTCAAAATAACACGATACACTTAAAGGTGCAACGTCCTCAAAAAGCAAAAAAGGGGAGGCTGTCTCTGATGCTCGATGCAGTTTGAAAAGGCTATTTTTCCCAACTCGTTGCTGGTCTGTCCTCTAGTATTTCCCTATACTTGCTTATAGATCTAGTAGCCAGACCGCCACCCTTCTTGGTATTTCTGTATACAGTAGCGTAACAATACTGGCATGTATAGCGTCAGATTTGGCCCGCTCTGAAATCCGTGCTAAAGCCGCAGAATAATATCTCACCCATATTTGTATTAAACCCTCCGACCGCTGCACAAGCCAAAGGCATCGAAGTCCCGAATAAAAGCCGCCCTAATGGTACATGGAATAGGAGGAAGCTAGTATCGCACAACCGAACCGATCAATCAAGGTGTTTTAGTCGACATCAACGTTCTGCCTGCGCAACTCCGCCTTGGCCTGCCCGATCTCCTTTTGCAGCTCCTCGTGCGCCTCTGGTACATCATTGAACGTTAAGATTGCTACACCTAGGCGGCCAAGTAGGTAACATCCGAACGATATTAAGGCATAGAATGGAAGCTGGTGGGATTGCGCTGGTGTTAGTGGCATGAAGAAAGATTAACCAGTGAGATTTTGAAGAGAACAGACGTACGACAGGAACGATCTCTTTTTGAATGGTTTCATTGAGGGGGACAAGATCCAAGTAAAGGACAAGATATAGCTGTATAGGGAAGGAGAAGAAAGTTACTAGAGTTAGTAACAGCACCAGCAGAAGGGTGTGGTCCCTGGCATACCGAAGAAACAAGGAGGAGAACGGAGAGGGTCTGTTGAGCGCGTGTCATGGCGAACAAGGGCTGTAGCTGAATTTCTTGGGGGGAAGAGTCGCAGATACAGCGATACTGATGTAGTGAAAATAGACAAAGCTATCTAATATATCAGGGTGCGCCAAAGAGGGAGGTATGGGACTTGGGGAAGAAAGAATGACAGGTATGTTGCTGGGTAGTATTGCGTTTACGATAGATACTCGTCGGTGGTTCCCGATGCGTCCTTGGCAGTCGAGTTCACCGTACTAGTAGCATGTACTAGTAATTATTGATCGGGAGTTGATCCCCTGTTTCTGATACCAACATCCAATGTCGGCATATTAAATGCCTGAGAGACTTGAGCATAGATCGCGTAACAAAGTTCGGATATGTAAAACGGTAAAATGGAAAGAAGACATAAACTGCAACTATATCACTGCGGACATAATGTGTCAATTAAGGACATTACTCAATACAGCCTTGACAGTACAATAAATTTATTACGGTACAGTGTATGGGTTGTGTAAATTTCACAGCTTTTAGTGCACCCGTCTGTCTGTCCTTCAAATCCGCCTTTAGTTTAGGCCAACTGATGCTAAACTCGAGTTATTGGGTTCTTTAAGACTTTAAGAGTACATTATTTTATTTATTTGGCTTTTTCTGAACCGCACGCCCTGTTTACTCTGGAACCCAAAAAAATCTCACAAATACGATATTTCCCATTCCCAGCTCAAGGAAACGAACCTAATAAACCAGTTGCTGCTCCTCATTATTTATCCGATAGACCGTATCCTGCCTATATATTCTTTCCCTCTCCCCTTCCTGGGTTTATTCTGGAAGCATACACATGTACTCCCACCGGACTACTCATTAAAATCGAGTTGGGGCGACTACCATACATCACTTGGCCTTTTATTTGCTTCCTGACCCAAAAGGTGAAGTGCCATGGACGAAGAAATGACCCCAAGGAACGAATTGAACACCATGCGGAATTCCATGGAGCAAAGTAGCCTACCTATCACACAGATACAAGGAACCGAACGCATGGAATGTCCATCTCTGAGCCAGATCATATCTAGTTTGGCCCCCATGCCCCCGGCATTAGCCCCTGGTATATCTAAGCCTTTGTCTCTTGAAGAACAACGAACTCTGTTTGACACCTTTCAAGAGGCTCTCAATATGGCGGAGACTAGATACCAAACCAGTCCAACAGCTGAAGCTGAAGAAGATAATCCTTCTTTCGAGCAAGTCAATGCTCTTTTCGAGGGCCTCCAAGATATTTTGTATAGGCTCTGGACATGCAGATCAAGCTTCATAGTGCAAGCTGCAGAGGCTTTGGCAAACGGAAGTAGGAACCGTAAGTGCGACTACAATATAAATGCTGACTAGCCTCATTGCTGATATATTCATAGCATTGTGGCGACTTCCGTACGGACAGAGTGGTGTTCTATCTTTTTTCCTCCAACTTATTGCTTCAAAGGAGGATGTTGGTACTAATCTGCTCCTTCATGCTTTGCGATTGATTGGGAACTCCTGTGCCGACACTGGTAAGTCCAATTCGTTCAGTGTTATAGATATAGGCTCTATCACAGTGCTCACTATATTTCTTAGACGAAAACAGAACAATCGTTGTGAAAGGAAACTTCACTTCTGCTATCATCCAACATCTTCTGAATCCCGAACTTATAAAGATAGTAATACCTGTTATCTACAATATTTGCATTGATTTTGGTGAGGTATATTGAGTCTTGCTGTACTTGGTTGCTAACCATTCATAGAGCCTGCCCAGTCTCAACTGGCTGCAAGTAAAATAGTATACATACTCCTGAAATTAATAAGGGAGGACTCGTTCAAGGGCAACGAAAATTTACTTGATTTTGTCTATGAGCTAATAGAACTAACTGCGGAGCAAGGTATGATATACCCCTTCCCCTCCTTTGCTTGGTTCTAACAGGTCCATGCAGAACAAGGGATAGAGTTATCACCTGATGAAACCATCTCGCTCCTTATTGATCTTGTAGTTGATAAGGACATTGTCCATACCCCTTCTCGATTTTCTTGCATTGCGACTTGCTCGATGGCGTATCTCGATAATAAACGGTTTCAGAATGTCTGCATAACAAGATACATGGTAGCTGACATTCTATCGATGCTCAGCAAATCCTTGGATTTCGACTCGGGGTGGCCCTCTAATGATGATATTCAAGTACTGGCACAAGTTCAGTTAAGAATCAACCAAACGCTAGCAGAGATATCTGGAGCACCATTATTCGCTGAATACTATCCCCTTGGCTCTGATCTTTCACGGATGCTGAGAAGCTGGTTACAGAGAACGGAGGATCAACTACAGATCTGTTCCTGTGTCATGTTAGGTAACTTGGCGCGTTCGGATGAAGTATGCCAAGTGATGGTCCGAGACCTGAGTATCCACCGGGATCTGATATCAATCGTTAAGAGTGACGCTAAAGGAGCCGTCCTTCATGCTGCACTAGGATTCTTAAAGAATTTGGCAATTGCTGGAGATAATAGATTGCATCTGGGACAAGCTGGTATCATTCCTGCGGTTTCTCGTCTCTGGGAATACGAGACGGTGCCACAAGTTCAGTTCGCAGCCACCAGCATCGTACGGCAGGTGATCATTGCTTCAGTTGAAAATGTATCCCATTTGCTAGAGACCTTCCCTGGGGATGACGATAGCAGGACTTATCTCTCACAGTTGCTTTCGCTGTTCGAGAAAACGGACTCCACCCCTATTAGAACTGAAATTGGACGCATCATAGCATCCATATGCCGTACTCTCATCCCAAAATCCCGTGAACAAGACGAACAAGCAGATGTTATCCTCAGGCGTCTCTTTAGCATTCACGAGGGCATTGCCTTTCCAATAGGTGCAATGATTTCTCAATCACAGTGGCCCGTTGTTCGGAGTGAAGGCTGGTTTGCCTTCGCGTTGATGGCATCAAGTCAGCCGGGTTCTGCGACAGCTGTGGACTGCATAGAGAGGATGGGTCTGTTCCCAACTCTTGAGCAAAGCTTGAGTGCGGAGTCCCTTGGCTCAACGGACGAAGTGGACAAGTTGCAGTTGATCAAAGATCGTGACAACATAATAGTCCTCATCCAGGAAATATTGAAACAAAATGTAAGTAATGCGATTCTCTCAGAATGACGCTTTGAGATAATACTAATTACACTTTGCAGCCTATTCAACTTTCAGATTCGGCCAAAAATACGCTACAAGGCTTAATGAATAGCCAGGTCTTGCAATACTTGGAAAGCACTAGAGAACGTTGATTCTACACTTCAACATTGCCCCACTATTCTGTCATCGAGGATTATACAGAACGAATTATAGTTAGATTAGTCTAAGCTTACAGGTATTTAAAAAGACCAATAAACTGTTAAAAGAGAAGTATTATATAATTATGAAACACCGGATTATCCCCAGACATGATCAATTTTCTATAATCGTCGAGAGCAGATGGGGCTAAGTAGGATCACAAAGTATCTAGGCAAATCATTTCCTCAGCGTACGCTCGATACCGATGGAGGATATCAGTAGAGTCCAACCCCCGAAAACTTGCCTCAATGGAGTAATGCGCAGCGAGCCCTTTCCCATCGATTATAGCGCCTCGATCGCTGCCCAGCACTTCCTGTGCCACCTCTACAGATAACTTATATGTGTCCTGTTGAATAATAGACTTCAAAATGCTTGGGTCGCCTGCCCGTAGACAAAGGAAGTTGGGGCTAACACTGTCGGTTGGATCAGCCCACATGGGAAATTTATACCGATATAAATCGCCGTCTTCGAGATGTTGTAGAAATGAATAGTGTTGCTGTGCATGGACCGTCCAGTCATCCAGTTCAGGCCCGTTGTCACCATACATGGACATGCCAATGGGTGTTCGATCCCCATTCTCATCCGCTGACGGAAGCCAGCGATGGCTCTCTGAGGGAGGAGGATATCCTTTTGATATTTTGAAGTCGGCAGGGCCTTCCCAGGTTGGAAGATCTGCGACCCGCCAATCCTGGGTGACGGGAATCCGAGGCTGGTCGGAGGAAGAAAGCTCGGGAAGATAGGGAAGGGCAACACCGGGATGGCTATGGAGGGCTTGAAGAGCAGCTTGGTTAATAACATTTGCCGAGACTATTAAGGAATCAGGGTGATCAAGCTTGGTTTTGACAATGGTCGAGATCGTATGATCCTCCAAGAAGATGATATCGCCATCTATTTTGATGAAAATCACATTCCTATCCATGCTGCCCCACTGGATATAATCACCGAACCCCGAGACTTGGTAGAGAGGAGTGCGTTTCACAGTAGACACGAGCCATTCTAGACTTTCCGTGTTATTTGTCTGCGGGATAAATATCACTTGGTCGAGGAATCCATGGTTATCAATGAGGTTCCTCTTTGTAGGTCAAGTCAGACATGGCCACAATGATAAGCAATACCGGGCGAACTCACTCGTAGATAGCAATCCAGGATCTCCGTTCGCTCATGGCTACGAAAGGGCACTAGTGCAACGATCCTGATATCCTTTGGTTTCTCGAACGATCCAAAATCTGCGGAGTAAGCATGGAATGGTGCCGGGTTCACTCTTTGAATAAGAACAGGCAAAAGACCCAGCTCGAAAAGCGAATACCTTGAGAAGTATACGCTGGCAAAAACCATAAAAATGCACGTACAGCTAACAACGTACCAGGTCAATGCAGATAAGCAGAAATGGCGTGAATTATTGCTCCTGCCATGCAAGTTTGCATCGCAGATAGAGTCAAGGCGACCCATGACAGGGCTGCATACTTATGCACCTATTCCAGAGCGAGCAACTGATAGGCCTGCATACTTTTGGTATCTACTGTCACTAGGGAATTTATAATAAATCTATCAAAGGTCGCCATCACATCCCCGTTTTCGGCGACTCCAAGATAGATCCGGAAATAGTTAACTACAGGTGGCTGGTTATTTTTTTTGTCCGGAATGCGGAGAGGGAAAGAAAGCACCATGCTGCATGCATTTCTGCAAGGGAAAGTTTTCAAGATTGATTATGTTTAGCTTTCATTTCCGTCCCAATGTATGTTGGAAACAAGTTGGAGTGGGGAATCGACGACGAGTTTAATTGATCTACTGCACTTTTATTTAGTTCACGGTCTATGTATGACGTCACCGACACGTGAAACGGTTCTCCGAATGTCCGATGGGTTCCTCGCGGTTGGCCAAGTCCAACCTTCGCGATCGCCATCTCCCTGGCTATCGAATGAAACCGTCAACACTCGATAATTTGAACTTCGCATGAGAACATGAGGACGGCCGTCCTCTTTGGCCGTTTCTGTTCGAGCCGTGGTGGAACTCCGCAGCTGCTGTCCCGCTTCATCTTGCCGGTTCGATGGCGTTTCAGCCGGCCGCCGTCATGGCGGCAAGGGCTTGGGCGGAGATCTCACAGGCGGATGCATATGTCAGGGACGTTGTTACTCTCTTCCTTAACCCCCGGTGCGTTTTTGAAATTGGCCGAGGAAGGTGATGGAAATGAAAAGACGGGTGAGATGCAGATGCTGGAAGCTTCACGCCAAGAGATCCAAAAGAGTGTCACTCAGGATGCACGAGGCTTATCGAGGTTTCAACAGTCTATTTTTGTCTTCTGGTATTATTACATATATGATCCGATTGCCACGGGGCTCAGGTTTGCGCATCTGGTGGTTGTCTTCTTGCCTGTCATCCTTACAGTCCCAGTTGTATGGCTCGGCAAGCGCCTTGAGACCCGCAAAGATGTACGCAGCGGGACACTGTGGTGGTATAACTTCCTCGTCAGATCAATGGAACGTGCAGGACCGGCCTTCATTAAGGTAGGGTACCATCCCTGCCCACCAACAAGAAGTCCAGATTATCCGTAGCGTGCATACTGATATCTGTTATGGTTCTCTTTTAACAGCTCGGACAATGGGCGGCTTCGCGCACTGATATCTTCCCTCCTGAACTATGCAACATCATGTCATCTCTCCATTCAAATGCCCCTTCGCACTCGTTGCAAGAAACAAAGGAAACTATTTGCAAGGCCTTCAACGGGCTACCATTCGAAGATATCTTCGAGGAGTTTTATGAGGAGCCTTTAGGGGTGGGGGCTATTGCACAAGTTTACAAAGCAAGATTGAAATCAAACCTAGCGGCATATCAGGATCAGGAAGCCTCAGAGATACAGGGTTTAAGAGATAAGGTCCGAAAGAACGTCGATGTATTGATGAAGAGTACGCCCCAGCGAGTTCCCTCTTCATATGTAGCCGTCAAAGTGCTGCACCCTAAAGTCGAGCGTGTGATCCGAAGGGACCTAAAGATTATGTCTTTCTTCGCTTCACTAATCAATGCAATCCCTACTATGCACTGGTTATCTTTACCAGACGAGGTTCATCAATTTGGAGAGATGATGAGGCTGCAGTTGGACCTGCGCATCGAGGCGAGTAACTTGGTCATGTTTCGTGAAAAGTTCAAATCGCGCACCACCGCTTGGTTTCCATACCCCTACTTAGGCTACACAACCCGCGAGGTGCTCGTGGAGGAATTTGCGCAGGGTATTCCTCTATCAACCTTCCTTGACGTTGGAGGGGGTGTCTTTCAGCAAGAAATTGCACATGAGGGCCTAGACGCATTCCTCCACATGCTATTAATTGACAATTTTGTTCACGCGGACTTACATCCAGGTAATATCATGGTCCGATTTTACCAACCGAGTGAGTTGGATCTTTCACTCCGCAAACACACCAGGGCGTCCGATGCACCAACCACGGCGGACGTTGATGTAACAGAGGCGGTACTTGCACGACTACGACCTCATGCCCATAGTCCAGAAGATTGGGAGAGGATCCTGGAACAGCTTAATGCGGAAGGCTATCGTCCGCAACTTATTTTTATTGATACTGGCTTAGTAACCCAGCTCAACGATACTAATCGGCGAAACTTCCTTGATCTCTTCCGCGCTGTCGCAGAATTCGATGGGTATCGAGCGGGTCAGCTCATGGTCGAACGATGCCGCCAGCCAGGGGAGGTCACTGACCCAGAGGTTTTTGCGCTGAAAATGCAGCACCTAGTTCTTAGCGTCAAGTCACGAACCTTTGCGCTTGGCAATATTAGCATCGGAGACGTGCTAAGTGAGGTGCTATCCATGGTTCGAGGCTACCACGTTCGGCTTGAAGGAGATTTTGTCAACGTTGTTATATCGATCCTTCTTCTAGAAGGTATCGGACGAAGTCTTGACCCAAATCTCGATCTCTTCAAAAGGTAAGTGGATAGATGACTCCTTAAAAAATTTTTAGTTTGATATCCTCGTACATCTAATAACGACAATTAAAATTTTTTTCTTGCTTTAGTGCCCTCCCTATTTTGCGGAAGCTTGGATCCAATACTACATTCTTGAAATCGGTTCGATCGGGCGACACTTCCATGCTCCGCGTTTGGGTTGGACTTGAAGCTCGAGGCTTGCTTCAAGCCAGCATTGAGACTGTTGAATTGTGCGTCAAGTCTGATATGCTATCCCCTAATATCTAAGAGACCGAGGAATCCGGGATAGCATAAATTTTCGCTCCACTCGGAACGTTCATAGAATAGAAGCGAAAACTCGACAGAGAGGATTGATATGTTACATAGTGAATTTTCGCCCCGGCTCTTGTATACTATGACAACAGTTAAAGTTGGATCAGTGGTAGATCATGTATAAAAGGATACTCGATGGGTTAACCTACAGTCTGTTTCCAAAGATCTATGAGCTACGGGCATAACGGATAACGTTCGAAAAGAATCATTAAGGCTATGATTGATTTAGAAAGTAAAAATCCCTTAACGTGGCGTAGTGTAGGAAGTGTTTGTATGTTTTCATACGTAGGCCGCCCTCAACTCTCATTTCTCCTGAGTATTACATCGTCTGAAGCGATATAGATGATCTCCAGTGAATCTAGACTATTGCCTCTAGGTAATTGGAATGCCCAGCGAAATCATTTAGTAATAGGCCCCTGTCAATTAGCTTGAAGGTAGGCGACGTCTTTGTATCGGAAAAACTAGGCCTGCAAGGACCATATAGACTTCCCCAGACAAATTACTCTATTAAAACATAGCCTCTTCGAGGGGAAATGCTAGAAAGATCCAGAAGTAAGCACGGGTCGCATGTTCCGTCCAGAATAACAACTGTAGACGCCATTGCTTCATTGCCATCATTATCTGCCTAGCAGTCCATATATCTGAAAGAAAGCCATTTCATGTTTAGACAAAAAAGGGTGAAAGGATTAGGTTAGGTGTAGAGAGAAACAGGGAGGCTAAAAGAAAAGATATAGAATGATGCGTCCCTATGGAGGACCATTAGACGCCCGCGCCTTGTTCAGTATACAGGTGAGTGGAGAGTCATCGTCGCTGAAGAGCAATATCATCAGCAATCAAGTTAAGCCATTAGTTCCCGCCATCCTCTCGAATTGCAGCACCAGTAGCTCGCCACCAAACATCGCCTCCCCATCTCATCAACCGTTCAATAGCAGCGGTAGGTGTGTCCAGGGCAGGCCTGATATCCAGATAGAAAACTGGCTCTCCTGTTGGCTCCGGAGGCCCTGAATAGTAATCAATCACATAACGCACTTCTTTCGGGCCAGACGGCGTCTGTCGCATCACAAACCAGTCGTGTCGATCGAACGGTGGGGGTGTTCTAGAACACATCAGTAACACAATACAACGGCATGCCAAATAAGGGAAGGGCAACTGGTATACTAACCCAAACTTTGCTGGATACAGCCAACCCAGTGTTTGCAGTACTTGCGCCTTTGGAGTAAGCTCCTGTGGCCGACCCTTGAACCTGAGAAGACGAGGCTGATTCTCCAGTGCACCGGCACCTATCAGCTCCTCCCTGGCTGCATCTAATGCGATGTTCTCCTCGCCACGTCGACATTTTACCCAGCCTTCTTTTAGACCTTTTGAGAATAAACGTTCCCATCCGACAATTTCTTCCCAAGCGCCTTCATTCAGAAAGTTGTGCACTGCAACCATTGCCTCTACTGCATCCTGAGGGGTATCCGTGTGACCTTTGCGCAACATTGCATTGTACATTTGCTGAGGAGACGGATACTCCCAATTGCTATCTGTATCTCCGCGGGGTATAGAGGAAGGTTCACGCTCCAGCGGCAAATCGACGGTTTGGTTCGGTGCTCGTTCCTGAGAGATGGAAGAAAACATATAGTTCAAAGGGTTCAGTTTTGATAGGGTTGACTTGTTTTCTGCTTTAGAAGGCAATGGCGTATCTGAGGATATTGACTTAGGTGGCACATAAAAGGGAGAGTCTTTAGACCGGACGGGGCAGGCAGTAGGTGGTTCAGAAACTGAGGATGGCACCGGTGACGAGTTGCTCGTGTGCATTGGACATGATGGCTATGAAGCATTATTAGTAACTTGAACAGGTATACATGAAATATGGTGACTTACCGGGGGTGTGGTGTCCGATGATGCCAATGGGTTCGGAGCCACAGGTGTTGGCAACGACGGGGAGTCTGCCCAGAACCAACCCATTTGGGAAAAATGAAAAAGAAAAGCTAGGAGAGAAATGAGAAAATGAAGGGGAAGATTCCAGAAAGGAAGTTGCAGAGGTATAATGTATATAGGCGACGACTGGTTGGTAAGTTAAATAAAGAGGGAAAGCAAGCCTTATAGTGGAAGAGAACCTGAAGGAGATTTTTTTTGGTTTAGAAAAGAAAAAAGAAAAAAAAAAAAAAAGGGAAAAAGGAAAAGGAAAAGGAAAAGAAGCGCGGAATGTCTGTGAACTCGGTCGGGCTAGGTTTAATGATATAAATGGCCTCTTTATTTTGTACGACGATTAGGTCCACTTCTCAAAACTAAAAGTCCTTCTCTTCATTTATTTGTATCTTCATGAGCAAATTTACAAAACTAATATATGTCGAGTCTGTCTGTATACAGGAATTAATTCGAAGATTTGAGCAACCAGTATCAGTTCAACTTAGCGGCTAACTATTATTAATACAGTAATTACCTAAATGTGACAGCAACATCACCGCTTTGTCATCTAACCCCCCGAGTAACTAAATAGTACTTGTACTCCGTACCACCACAGGTCAATTAACTAGCTTTGGTAGTGGAACTTGGTAATTACTAACTAACGACTTTTCTATTAGTTAACTAGTTACTAGAACGCAAACCATACTCCGTAGTAGTTATAGGCACGTGCTTCCAGTGCCGCAATCTCGTTCTTTCAGTTCTCTACGGAGTACTCCGTAGTTATTCAACCCTCCAGAAGAACGCCCCCGCGACTAGTACTGTAGCTATCGATAACTGGAATTAGTCACCTGGCGGAGACCATTCGGCTAGCCCTGCTATAGGGGGGCAATGGAGTTGGCAATATTTAGGTGCAGCTGTTGTTCGCCAAGCATATCTTGAGTAGCTTTGTCGCCATTGGCAGAGTGTTGTATATATTATGGCATCAATTATTCAACTATAATATACCAAGAGCAGGTCAATAGAGCAACCCTCGATCTGTTTTAGTGCACATAATATATCAAACCATGGCCTCCGTCCAGATGGATGCCCAGCTCGCTTGGTTGGTACTGGGAAGATAAAAGTAATCAATCAACACTTCGGACATTTGCCTCCAAGTGTGCCACCCACAAATTAGGGCGATGCGGGATAGACGCTCAACAAACCATGGGCGTTCAACCTGGCCTGCTGAGCTTTGAGCGCCAATAAATAACACCCATGCGAGCAACCCATGACCCTCCTTCGATAACGGTGGCCAATGACAATTAGCTATAGCTTGCTTCAAATGTCTTGTGAGCGCACGACCCAGCCCAGAAGACGGGGGCGATACGATAAGGAAATGGTTCAGGTAACATATAGAAGCGATCCTGGTGACAGCTTCCACAGAACCAAGATATGGTGTTGTCTCAGAAAATGGCATGCCTCGTGTAGTGGACTGAGAATACACATAACTAAGGAGCCGATGCTCAACTTCACGATTGAGACTGCGAAAGAATTCGTGGTCATCGGTGCAGAGTACAGCGGGATTTTGGTTGCAAGCCTGGCCGTAAAGTACAATATCACGCATAGCACGGAGAATACTTAGCAAACATGCGCTGAGGAAGGGGTTAGAGACGAATGCAACGCCTACTCTCTGTAATTCTGACGTCTCCGAGGGCGCTATACGCTCTTGAATACTGGCTGAAACCGGTTGCAAGTCCCGAGCCAAAGGGAAAACCGGCTGGTTCATGAGTCCCGACGCAGCCTTCACATCAGTACTATATTACCAGTCAACAAGATTTGGTAATAAGTACATGGCGAAGCACGTACGTAATAATAGCAGCTAGCATTGAAGACTGATGGATACTGCTGTCTGTAATACCTCCTCGCAAGTCCACCATGCGCTTCAAGCCTCTGAGGTGCATACGAGCTTCTTCAAACAATCCCACTATCAGCTGGTAAGGGTTAGAAGAACTTATTGGCAAGAATTGTGTCTCGAATTTCAATGGGCGACCCACTGCCAATAACATGGAAACGACCGGAGCAAAGAAAATAAGAACACATACCGCACCTGTAAGAAGATTAATGATTGTACCAAATGCTTCGTTGCTTAACGATAGAGCGGGGTTGCGCAATTTAATATTCATCTCACGGATACACCTGGCTTTCATAACATAATAATCTGCATCGTGCAAAAAGCGATGGGAGGCTTCTGAAGCAACTCGGAACTGTGAATGATGTCCAGCCAAAACAGCTCGGTGGGCAGCGCACATGCTCATCAAGCCAAAGAAACTTCCCTGATCCGTAAACGAAGATTGGACTGCCATTTCGGTTTTAGCCCGCTCATTGAAAGCATGTTCTTTCGGGAAAGTCATCGGCACAAAGACAGTTCCCCCTAGGTAATTTACCGGGTCAGTCGGAGTTTAGTACTAGCAGACAGTGCACCTCATCAATCGACGTACACTTTGCGAAACTCGAGAAATCGCCAACGGATCCCTGGACCAAGAAACAAGATAGCAGGTACAGACAAGTGGTCGACTCACAGTAAAAGACTAGTCGACTAGTAATTATAGGTACATCACTGGCACCTGGCAATGTATTGAAAGGGTCGACAAGCCATGAGGTCGGAAACTGAAGCGGAATTGAAATAGAGCCAGTTGATATTGAATGACAAGCACAGCGCCTATCTGGCTGCTGTTGGAGTTTTTCTTTATTCTCGGCAGTGTCACAAGACGGCCCTCTTTCCATGAGTGATTTTGGCTCCAAGGATGGATTAGTGGGTAAGGTACGCTCTGACGACGAATCTTCGAAGTTTGACTGGACAACGGCTTTATCTGCGAGTCCGTCACGCCTAGGAACACGCTTCAGTCCAGCAAGTCGCTCGCGCCTACGCACGTCGCGCATAACGTGGGAGCGAATAGTCCTGCGAGCATTAGCATCTTTGATTCGTTTGGAACTCAAATCATCATCATGGTCAATAAATGTGAATGTAGGTCGATCCGGCGGTATAATGATTGTTGACCTCGGCCCTAGAAAGACGAATCAACACTCGAAATGATAGGTACTGAGTGTATTACAACGGTTGACATTGCATTGATACAAATGATTTAGTATCAATCAGAAGGTGATAGCAGGTTTCAAATTCTGGCGGGAGTCAGATACACAGGGCAAAAAGAAAGAAGGAGAGAGATAGGAGTAGGAAAAGGAAAAGCTATGAAAAGTGACAAGCAGGTGCACTGAGTAGTACAGCACGATCTTCAGGGAGATATAAGGTACAAAGTCGAGGGAGAAAGTTCATTTCGAGATAAGACATAATCTAGCAAAAGAGGGGGGGTGGGGAGGGTATTATGATGCCGAATATTTCAAATATGACGATGGTGATGATTATAAGGACAAAAGGACAATACAAACCCAGACGGACCTGAATGGGAGTAATGCGTGGCAATAGACCTTGTGGCAGAGTTCATAATAGCAAGTTCCTCAAGCCGATGCTTATCGAATGACCCAACGCCTTGACACTACTGAAAAAGTGAAAATGGGGAGGTGGAAGAATGAGTTACCAAGCAAACCCAGGAGCATAGCCGGGGTAAATGGCTGCACAGCGGCCAGCCATACCGTACCGGGCAGAACTAGAGCTGGACTACTCCATACAGAGGGAGAAACGGCATAGTAACTAAAGGGTAATGATCCGCCCACAGCCAGGCGGTCCGACTCCACAACCAACCTTCATATTTGGAAGGCAGTATATCATATACTAGATAGAACTTATTTCTAGATCTTATCTCTTACAGTTCTCCTCTTACAGTGGGGGTCCAAAAGTATGTGACCCCCTTATACTCAGGGGTCCTGACCGCCTCATTTTTTTTTTGCCAGTAGAACTAGGATTCTGCCTGACCTACACGTCCACGCGCCTAGAACCAAAACAACTGCCTGAATAGGCGATTTGAAGACTTTTTTTAAAGCTATTCAGTATTTGGTATACCATCCCCTCTTCCTCTATCACAGCCTGAACCCTGTGAGGCATGGTAGTTGGCAGTTTCACTAGGACCTTATCTCGAATAGTGTGCCAATCTTTCTTAGCAGCTTCAATAAGCTATATGTCTCAGATCCGATGATGACTCTGCGTGATGACTGTATCGTATACCCTGCCCGCTGTGCATAGGCAACTCGGTGGCCTAACAGTGACATTGGAGTCTATATCCGTTGCCTTTTCAATAGCGTATAGTAGCCCCCTGTTAGTCTTGTTAGGAAAAGAAGGGGTTCCTTCCAGCTATAAAGTTAGCCTGATATTGATAATAGAGAAAGGCAAAATCAGTCTTCTGTCTACATAGTATCTACTGCTTAGCTTTCTGCCTGCGTACCCTTACCTAGTTGGCAGGCCTTCTACCCTGAATAGTAGATATTTCTCTGACAATATCTCAGCTGTTCAGAAGGTCTTAGGAAAGTCCAACCTACTCAGTTTTTTTTTTTTTTTTTTCCTTTGCCTCGTTCAACTGTATATTCATCGCTCTATTTCACGCGCTTCCAATTCTCAGGATATAGTAGGTATATCTTCTTGCTCAGACAAGCCTTTGGCTGTGTATTCTGGCTTACTCAGGCCTAGACCTCTGGTGTCATTTCCGCTTATCTGATTTACGTAGGAGACGTTCTATCGAGCTTATTTTGACTATATAGTTGACTGCTGTCAATGAATCTTTATTTGTAAAGTAAGAATCTTGATTAACAAGCTCTAGAGCGTGTGTATGCTGATCTAAAGTCAGCTTTCTAGGTCTGCCTGAGCGGGAACGTGTAGTACTACTAAGACGCTGGGATTCAAGGCGAATAGTAGGTTTAATAGTAGAAAGTGATAGCTCAGAGTGTAAATTTTTGATCCTTTTGGCCCCCCAGCCAATCGAATGGGGCTCACATATACGCGCGCGCGTAGCTGAGGATCCCACTCTTTCCCTCTAGGAGCCATATTAGCGCGTTGTATAGAGCTGAATGGCTTCAAAGTCAAGCGCTTTGTTTGCCATTGTTCTATTTACTATATAAACTAGATAGGCGGTGAAGCGGCTGCACGAGGGCGGTCATCCGAGGCGGTCAGGACCGCTGGGTATAGGGTCATACTTTTGGACCCCCATTGTAACAGCCTCCTTCTACTTGATTGAAATGTCGCCTCTCTATGCTAGTCTAGCGGGCATACAGTGGACTAAATCGAGCTTCTGGACAACCTTCTATGTATTACCAAGTCTATCAATAGCAA